CGAGATTTTACGAGGGGACTTTCGTTGATTCAGGGATCGTATATACATATATGTGACATGTAAGTAAAAAGAAACAATCGGACATACTTGTGTACTGTTATTTGTTTTTATGGTTTTCACTGAAACCCTGAGAAATTGTCAGAAATTCCGTTAAATACCGTTGTCGTTGTGCGTCATGTTGCGTCAAGGCGTCACACAGGACGGAAATTTTGACAATTTCTGTTGAATTTACCAAATCATTGCAATGTATCTACAGTTAAGAACGTTTATAACGAGCACGCTAATAACGAACAGATGGATATAACGAACTGTTTTTTTGCCCCGGCCATTTGTTGTATATATACTGTGTATACAACGAACTACGGTTATAACGTTACAATTTCTGTTGACTTTACCAAATCATTGTAATGTATCAACAATGTATATGACTATGGATCTCTCCCCATGCATCTTTTGAAAATGTTGAGCCAATGTATTCGTCAATTAGACGAATGGATCTCTCAAAATAGGAGAAAATGCTACACAGTGTAAAATTGCTTTGTCTACAGTTCAATCAAGTGCAGTTTTCCGAGCACACCGTCCATTTTCACACCTAATTTATTTTGCTGGATTTCTGGACACTTTGTATTGGTGACAAAGACTATTTGTCATTTGAATCTAAAATGTATGAGGAATTCAAGGATGTATGTATCGAAGCTAGGTTTGAAATATACGTGATTTTATAGGCGTCTCATAACCGACAAACGTGATTTTGTAAACACTATCCAATATGGCGGAATGTTCACTTCGGCGTTCATGGTTTGCGTATTTTCCAAAACATTCTTAATGATTCCAGGGTTATCGGCAACGTTTTGGAATGATCATTGGTGATTTGATAAAAGACAGATGACCGTGATCACTAAAGTGTTATTTTAAAAATTCATTTCTCCGAGTAGATATCAGAAATTTAAATGTCACAACACCTGTAAATAACGCCATGAATTGTGATTTAGTAATGTGTAAAAAATGGCGACATTACGATGTACCTAATTTTCAGAGATCATATTCAGTAATTTTGCTTTGCTTAAAGTGACAGTTGAAATCACAGAACAGGGAATTTTCCCAAAGAGTTTTAAACTGTGAAGTGTATTTGTGTTCGTGATGTATGTTGAGTTTTATTCGACTACAAAGTGAGGGTTAAAAGAGGAGGGGCATATTTGTCCCTCTGGCATCCAGCGGGTTAATCACAATGTCTATGTATGTGACATGTTCAGCTTTTAAAGCAAAGAAAATGTGTTATTTGCTATGGAACAAATAGATACTCATAAAGACACTCAAACATCATCACATATCTAAACGGTATATGTTTTATGCTGAAATGGACACAATATTTATTGTTTAGTTTGTCTATTTCTAAATCAGCTAGTTGTACTGTCGAAGTAAGAGTCAGAAAGGGAAAGTTTACGTACGTAGGTTTAAACCAGCAGATATTGTAAATTAAGCAAAAAATAAAGAAAAGAATCGGTCGGAGAGATAGAAAGATCGATTTGTCTAAAGATGTAACATGCTTGCTCTTTATATGATCATATGATGGATCACGATTTCTTAATCGTTGCTTTTGGGAACGTATAGTGAAAGTATTTACAACACTTAGGCAGTATGCACCTAATTTGAACGAATTAAGCGATTGTGTGTTTCAACAAGAAAAAAATAACAACATAAGGAATAATTCCACAGGAGATCCCTATTCTGAAAACATCATGTTTTTTTAATATGAACCTTTATAAACTTTACCCCGTATTCGTCAATTTCTAAACGATATTTATTTAATATTCTTGAGTGCATTACAGGATTGGTAATAATAGCGATACTTCAGCCAATGCGATGTATGGATTTGAAAATGAGTGGCTCGAACATATGAAGATCATTTCAAGTTACGTATAGTTATACCTATCTCCGGGACCCGTGACGATCCGGGTTAGAATAGGTCTTCAGCAACCCATACTTGCCGTAAAAGGCGACTATGCTTGTCGTAAGAGGCGACTAACGGGATCGGGTGGTCAGACTGGCTGACTTGGTTGATGCATGTCATCGGTCCCAGTTGCGTGGATCGATGTTCATGATGTCAATGACTGGATTGTCTGGTCCAGACTCGATTATTTACAGACAGCCGTCATATGGCTGGAATATTGCTGAGTGCGGCGTTAAAAAACAAACAAACAAACAAACCTATCTCCGGGCAGATCTTACACGAACCGACGTTTTGGTGTTTGATTTAAATATTGTATACTGGAAGAGGCACTTTGATTAGTGAGTGAGTTAACGCGAGTATTTCAGTTAAAGACGTGTGAGGGGAACTCCCAAGACGCTGCAGGACTGAAATATACACTACTTTGGTAAAACGCACCATGATTAATAATCAGTGTGAATCTGGAATATGAACCAACGATCATGGCTTTCTGACACGTATGTTGTACGAAACTCTTCACAACACAAAAGACGACATTCCCTTTGATTTTAATTTACAACATATTGTGGAAATAGAGCATGGTTATCAACGCAGTTTGTTAATGACGTACATATAAGTAGCCTTTTAAGTGAAACGGGGTACAAATAAGTTTAATTTGTATCATGAATTTCGCCGAATCTTTATTGACCATCGGAGAACAAGCTATGGACAAAATAATTCATATGCATAATTAGGTATGCTTATTAATGTTTATGCTGACAATTCTCAAGAAAGTAGTGTAACTTTAATTTTACAGCAAGGATAATATGCAACGCAATGCCTATTTGTTATTTTAAACCTTTTTATTGGACATGTAAACAATCTTTAATTTGCCACATCTGGTAACTTGTTAACGACCGATTACAAGTAAAATGAGATAAACTTGGGTATACAAAGAGAAATGTCCATATGTTTCTCTTCTTTTAAGTTGTAATGTAATTTTCCTATTCACACATTAAATACTTTTCTGTTATGGTATGTCACTGCTTGGTGTGGGGAAACAGGCATAAGTCCTCTGTTATAAATCAGGTGATCACACGTATTGCCCAGAGGGTAAGAATTGGGGCTAATTTTATAAATTGGGTCCCGGAAAAATCGTTTGATCCATGCAAGATTTAGTTTAGTGGCGATGTTGACATTTGATGATGCCGTTGACCACGACTGGTCACAGGAAGGAGAGTTTCTGGATAAATCAGTTTGAGTATGAACACGTTTTACATGTTACGTGTTACATACAAATGTATCATACATTGTAGAATAATATCCTCTGTATACGATCGAACGGGTGTATCGGTCAAACTGTATAAAGTATAGACCTAATTTACTCCAAGTCGACTTAACTGTAGCTTCCGAGACAATTTTATAGTGTGATAGTGAGTTGGTGACATTTGAAGAGTATTTAAGTTATAACGCGGTGTCTCAGCTAGATGTGAGAAGAAAGTGATGCACTTCTTAGAAGTTTATTATATAATGGGCACGTTTGTCGACAGGATAAAGTCAGCGGATAAAATGGTATCCGTTTGGGTCATATACGGATGAAACTGCTAATACGTGAAAGGTACTACTTTCAGTGTTTACAAACAAACATGGCGTCGCGGTAGGCGATCGAGTCAGAATTAAACATCGGAAATCTGGAGAAACTATTGGGATAATATTTATCATTATCAAAACAATTATCAAAGATACTGAAAATCAGTGTCTAACTGGGACGTAGCTGAGATATAAACTGCGAACATTTTAGCGAGGACAATAGGCCCAATACCCTGGCCAGATCAGTTTCCATTGCGATCTGTGTTTGTAAGCCTCTGCAGCTTGGGGACTTTTCCCAAATATAATAAATTTTGGTTTGACCCAAATATGCCCGAATTGTTTCCTTGTTTTGTCGCTGTGTGTACATCTGACTCTGCACTTAACGAATGGATTGACGCGAAAGGGAAGTAGTAACAATATGTGTAGGTAATTGTTATTTTGACTGTATGTAGTTACGCCACTGTCTAAGAAAAAGGTTTCAGTCTATCTATATTGACTGTTGGCACTATTCGATAAATCACTGCCTTTTTCGCATAATGCGCACATTCCAGGAAAAAATGCAATGTTAGCACGCTTGTGTGTTTTGGGAAGGCATGACACGCCAAGACTCGCTAAATACAATGTTTATTCCTAATACAGGATATATGCCATCCCAAAACACACTCGCGTGATAACCTCTATTTACCAATATGGTGAAACCCACGAACACTGGTATGGTGCTGACAAGCCTAGTAACAAAAGTAAGGCGGACCTGGATTCGAACCAAAGATTACAGGTTGCTGGCATTCCTGGCAACTCTGCTGAGCAAATTGGGGCGCCTTAGACCACTAGGTCCTTTTAATGAAGATGCAGCAACACAACGTGATTGCATGAAACGCAAAAAGTTCCCAAGTTGTATATTACCAATGTTTCCTTGACGTTTTGCAGAAGATCCTATATCCTACATCGCTTGGCTCCAGAACGTTATGTGGAACGTTATGTTTTAAGAAATACAAACATCCTGAAAACCATATTTGCAAATGAGTGTAGCCTCAATTTGTCCAATTGGAGTAATGCAACCATATATCGTTCAGGTTGGGTTCGTCACTGAGTAGTGTTACTAGAAAGGTAATTACAACAATATTTCAAAATCTTTAAAACTCTCTGAAAGTCCAATAATCAATCATCGGCTCGATTTTTAAAGTCTAATGCATCAAAGCAAATATTTTTATTTGTTATGAATGTTATTCTGATTTTGTAAAAATATTATTGTGAGGTTCCATACGTCTTGTTTCGCTCGAATGTCCTATAGTTATCTACCAAGAAATAACCTTATAATTATAAAGAAGTAATAAATCGCATTGTACTAACACGGCTGACTCGAATACTGGAGGACATAAAATATTATCTAGTTTGTGTTCTGAGCTGATTTTTCATTCTTGGCACTGACGACTGCCGTGTTTTCAGTTGGATGTATAATGAATATAGATATAAAGTTAATACTTACTTTATGTTCAACATGATTGACCGCACTCGCAGTTTCATCAGCTGAAAATGCAGATATGAATACATCAGCAATGGGTATTTACATTATCCTCATTTCAAAATACATATTGTTGATACCATATATTGTCCAAGATGTTAGACCACGATGGGTGAAACTGTTTCCAACTGTTAAATGTTTGCAATTTGCAAGTGATGTTATGCCAAAGAAACATATCCTCCATATAGATACATTCGCTTTATATTTTATAACCTTTACTTTACCTTTGCTATATTTCCTGATGTTTTTTTCTGTAAACGTTATACACCGATACATTCAAACTATAGTACTTTAGATCCATCATATGATCGCGATTCATTAGCTAATTGTAATCTGTAAGTGAAATTATGCGAGAAAGGATTTAATGTTGATCTGATTATTTAATGTTTGCTTATCTCGCTATGTGACATAACAATACATTGGACACACTAGGCGAAACATTCCTGCAGGAATACTTTCTATAGTGTAAAGAAAACAAAAACAAGCAGAACGCTCTGCAGAGGTGTACCCTAGCCTACCAGAATACGATTGTCGTGGATGTGAATCTAAAATTTACCTACAATATGATCCTTAGTCTGCCTGGACCTCCCGGTGCTTTTGGCCTTCATAGAACTGATTAACGTCTACGTCACTTTGAGCTTTCCTACGACGTCAACTTGAAACTCGACGTTAAACAAATGACGTGTTGCGTTACTATCTAGATATAACCTAAATTACCGTTATGCCATGTGGATGCGGGAAGTGTTCGCAATGACATGAGAACAAAAGCAACAAAACCCTTTCCATAATCAAGCAAAAATAAGAACGAATAAGAAATACCTTTTAAAAGCAGAGGCTATTGTACAATACCGACTATATCATGAGCATGCATTTATGAATCACCATAAAATAGTGATGATACCAGGTGTTCGCGAAAAAAAGTGATCTTCTCATTCTCTATAGGTGGCATCTGTTATAAATACAAGCAAAAGCAAGTCAATTGTTCACCTGACAAAGGACACGGCAACACATCGTACACGTCAAAATAGGGAAACCTTTACGAGAGGTTTACTTGAATGTTGTAACCCTGATCATGGAACGTTTCAGTAAAAGTCATTTGACACTCTTTGAATTCTTCTTAGAAAGACCATGCTTGGTTGTACCTCGAAGGTTTTGATATGTAGACACCAAAGGCTGGAGTTGCAGGGATATAGTTCGACATAAAGGGGCAGTTGACAACAGGAATGTTTTTGTCTTGTAGATTCTTTTCTGCCACTTTGAAAGTAGAAGTCGCCTCTCTTGATGAGTCTTGTGGATAGTTTTTGTCACCCTGAGTAATTATGTATATACTCCGTATTTAAATATAGAGGCGGTGTCTCTAATATCTCTATTACTAGCTCATGTATACGTGTGTGTGTGTTTGTTGTTTAACGCCGCACTCAACAATATTCCAGCAATATTCCAGCCAGTGATTGACAACATGAGCATTTGATCCACGCAAATGGGATCGATGACATGCATCAACCAAGTCAGTGAGCCTGACCACCCGATCCCGTTAGCCGACTCTTACGACAAGCATGGTCGCCTTTTACGGCAAGCATTGGTTGCTGAAGACCTTTTCTAACCCGGGCCGTGTGTGTCTGTGTGTATAAACATGCATTCTGATGTATTTTGGATACATACAAACATACACATATAAATGTAATGAGAAGTGTCAGCCGGTACATTGCCGGGCGAGTCTCAGAATGATACAAGTTTGATGAAAATAGATTCCGTTTAGGGTGTATACACATAAACTATATCAATTTATAATCTCATAATAAGAGGTAAATACAGGTACCTTGGAGATGGTATCAAAACCATTTGATTAAGTTTAAAAACCTGAGGCAAAAACACACACAGAACGCTCAAGAATAAGTCACTGATATCTTGAAGTTGTTTAAAATGGTTTAAAGCGGCATGAAGTGGATAAACTTGAAATCTAATACGTATAGAACGTGAAGAATTAGACGAAAGCAATTTGAAGTCAGAGTGAATATAGCACATGTAATCCTTAACACAATACACAATATCCGGAAAGGTCACATACCAAATTCAGGTGTGTTAATATCTTTCTATTTATTATTCTGTCAACACCTCACAAAGATCTTCTTTAAAGACATAATATAGTCAAAGATTACATCTGTCGGAGGGTACGCCTTTTTATCGTCTGGGATATGTCGACTCCGAATCAGTCTGCGTTTAATAAAAAGCGGCCAATTCTCCATGGGTTATGTATTTGCTATTGATAAAGATTTGCAAAGGCGATAGCTTCGAGGTCCAACAATGTGTACTATGATAAGGATTTCAATAAAAGAGAACATAGTGCACAAACATGATCTGTTCAAACACGTTTGTATTTGACACCACCACACTCCAGAAACTCTGGCGAATTAAACATCACAGTTTTATTATAAGCCTTGATGACACCATATAATTTATAATACAATTGTTGTTATTACATTTTCAGACTAATGTATACATAATTGTTTCACTTCAGTTGAATTATGTGTATTTCAATAATTCCAATATGTTAAATGAAGTTCTTTCATATCATTTTGGTCTTTAGAATTAGTTACGTTGCATGGCAGAAAATAGTATGATATTGTTCAAGAAGTTACTTGAACGTGAATGAAATGGAATGCCACCCATTTGAAATGATAATTTACACTCATTCCTTCTGTATGTAATAACTAGTATTCGGAGGTCATGTTTCGATTCAATCTCTAAGTTTCATTCAAAAGTGAAAAATATGTACACCTTATTATTTGACATATTAAGATTTTTAGATGTATGTCACATATGGCCTTGAAACAACGCGTGACTGTCTATAATGATATATCTACATTCATAATTTGATGTGATTGTCTATTTGTTATTATCTGCAGGCGAGTATCGCTCCAACCAATGTGACCGAGTCAACTGTATACCCTGTGATCAGCGGTATGGAAAGTGCAGAGGCAGGCCAAGTGGTATCTACCCTTTCCACACTAAACGTTGGACCCCCACTTTTGTCACATGTTACGACCAAAGGAACATTGCTCAGGACGACTGTCAAGTGCCTACTCCGATCTTCTCCCCAGAGGTACACGACTGTGTGTCCCTCTTTGAAGTACCCAAAGGCAACGGTGGACTTCGTCCAGACTGCAGCTTCAGAGATGATGGTTATTATCCAGATGAGCAAGGCAGATGTGGAATCTTCTTTGAATGTAGAGACGGAGAATTTGAGGGCTACGATGAATGTCCTGCTGGGAAGGTCTTCGATCCAGTGAGTCTAAAATGCCAATCGTTGGAAATTGCTGCACCTCCTTGTGGAACAGGTCAACAACCACAATGTTATGACCGAGATGATGGCTTTCATGCTGACCCCTTTGGTAGATGTACGTACTACTTTGAATGCAGAAGGAAGAAATTCATCAGATACAGAACATGTGATTTTGGTTCCTTTGACCCCATCCGACAGGAGTGCATCATTCCAAATGAGCTTGTACCCAGACCATGTGGACTCCTTCCTAATCCTTGCGAGACAAAGTCGTCAGGGTTCTTCCCTGATGCCAACACAGGTTGCAAGAGCTATATTGAATGCAGCAGGGGAATTCTTATCAGGAATGGCACCTGTCCTGCCGATCAAGTGTTCAGTAGCGTAAGTGGTAAATGTGATAGGCAGGAAAACGCAGCAGAGCCTTGTGGACTCACACCATCCTGTACAAACAAAAAAGATGGGAAATATTCTGCATTGCTGAAAGGATGCAGTTTCTACTATGAGTGTTCCAATAGGAAATTCATGGGATTCAAGCAGTGCTCCTATTCTCAAGGAGGGTTCTTCTTCAATGAGAAGACGGGCAAATGTGACTTCCCGCAGAATATCTGTCCACCATGTGGTTATAAGTGGTGGGGCTGGTAAGTTTTAATATCCGGGAGATACATTGAAATTCCATCAAAAATATTATACATTTAACTAGACAGAAACACGATAACGTCTAATGATCTGGTAGACTCTTTTCTAAATTACGGATTGGTTGATAAACTCTCATAATAATCCTGATAACTTTCCATAAAATCATATTACTGTGACCAATAGCTTGACATGTTTTTTTAATTTTGACGAAGTTTTGAGTGATTAATATATACACATTTTATGTGTTTGCAGCTAATATTTATTTTCAGCTATGAAGATTATCCTCAAAAATAATCTTTAGTTTCGCCTGAATAAAAACCTTTGTCACCAGGGAACGAAACAGATGGAAACCTATCCTTAACAAGTTTGACATCTAGTTACTAGTCTAGTTTAGCGACCAAATTAGCCCTGTAAATAATGCATGATAGATTAATCAAACACGGATGAAATCTGGAAAGCAGGTATGATAAAATGGAAGGAAAATGTGTTGCTAAATTACTTTTACAAATTGCATGCAAGGCATGATTGTTAACAATTTTAAAGCAGATAACGTATCTCTGCAAAAACACAAAGTTTGTAAATGTTATTCATTAACATTCTGAACGATCTAGATATGCCATTGTCATGTCCTCATTAATATATAATTGACGATAATGTCAATGTTATTATTGTTTGTACTTGTATGTTTATTGTTGAGTGTATGTTTCATGTTGATTGACTATTACCTGAAGAAAAACATAGTTTCGGACTGTGAATAAATGGTACACGTAGAAAACACAGATGAAACAAATTGTCAAAACAAGTATAATGACCATGAGGTTCTGGGATGATTTTGTTGTTCAAGAAAAAGGTTTAATAATTCAAATATTCAAAAGGAAAATAGAAGGATTTACAAATACGTTGTTTTATACATGAATTGTTCAGTTTGAAGACCTGTCGGATACACTTTCAATCGATAATGTTCATAACTACAATAAATAATCTGCTATCAAACGTTTCTTTACTTCATAGGCAATCATATAAGACACGTTTTAGTTACTTTATAGGACGACATTGTCATCATAATTATCTTCCAGGCTACAAAGGGAACTGTTTAATCTGCTTGGAAAACCGGTTTGGAAAGTAACAACGAGAAAGGATGCTTACGGACCAAACCATTTAATCAGATCAAACATTGTCTAATCAGGTAGCAGGTTATAAGTTCAGGTCTCATATCATATCTCAATCTCGTTTCAGTTCCCGGGCAAACTCTTTCCGGTAACAGTGCCGCCATCTTGGATGTCATCCCTGTGAGAATGTGATATGTGCGACTGCGTGAACGTGATCGTCTCCTCTATATAAATGCCAGAATATATGGACGATAAAACTTATACATATATTCTGCCTTAATAATCAATAAGGCCTTCCCTCTCAGAATGATCAATATGTAAATGGTCGATTGCATTGTTTTGTGTTTCAAGAAATACTATTTTATGAGCTATTAATTAAATAGGAACTACCAAAAATACGTTGCCTTACTTACATTTGAGTACTTGATCAGTCACCGAGGTGTAGGTACTAAAGTGGAAGGTGTACAAAATATGATTATTTAGAGTAAAATATAAAATATTCAAACCTGTACAATGCTACCAAAGAGACATATTACAGAGAGCAGGGAAGGTCCTTATGTGTATCATATGATTAACTTAATGTGCTGTATATATGACATATGTACATATGTAAAAATCAGTTGTATGTTCTATATTTTTTCAGTCCAATCCTACGATCTCCAATGAAATGGATTGAAGTGTACAAAGTATACATATATATATATATATCTTCCAACACGTAATCAAAATAAATTTTATAATATACTGAATCCGTGGTTTGTTCCTATGTGAAACATTTTATGATTGAAACATTTTTTACTTGATGAGTGAGTTTGGCTTTAGGGTCGTTTTGACCCGAGTCAGGTATATTATGAGGTTTAAATTTAATGTTGGAGGAATGCTCAAAGTAGTGCAGGGTATAAACCTTTCACACATTGGTGAAGCCTTCGAATAAAAGTATGGTACCCACACACCAAGAATCATAATCGGGGCGATTTTGATCCGAACAGAGAACAAACGAATACTGAAAGTCTGCATATCACACACCGCATCGTTGATCACTAACGTAAAAGGATGATAACAGTGAATGAGTGAGTTTGTTTAAATACAGCTTTGAACAGTTATATCAGGAAGTGCCCGCTTTTGGTGGGGGAAAGCCCGAAGTGATACACGTTTTAGACGGTTATAAATACCACTTACATGCATTCAACGTCCACCATTTTGGTGCTTACATACCTATGAACACAGGCGAATTTGGGATTCGAACCCACGATCACAGGTTTCCGGCCTGCATAAGTGACGCAACTCTATGCAATGGTTGTGCGGAACCATATACGACTAGGAAACACGTGACCCCCACATGATTATTGAGTAAGTAAATTCTTAGTACTTTCTGATGTTGTGTTCCCAATTAATGAATTTACATACCGCATCCGTGGTATAGTGGATAGAATGGTTCGATCTTGGCCTGGTGAAACAACCTGTTAAAATATGGTACTTATTGTTACCCTTCCTGCCGCATGGAATTAGTCCGAATCAGTAAGAACAGCCACACATTTGTATAATCGCGATGAATTGGTTAATTGTATGAATTTCTGTCAGCATCACTAGTCCACACGTTCTTATGGTATAGTCGGAATTCTGCAACTGACTCACCTCTTCGCCTACACCTGGTGTCATCACTTTTTGATAGTGATTCATTAACACATGCTATCATTGTATTTTCGAATCGTACAATGGGCTCAGTTTTTTACAAAGATTTCACATGATGGTGGAAGGTTTTTTGTTGTTGTTATCTCTATGGTGTTAACCTCTGTTCACAACGGCATCATTGATCAGAACAGATGTAATGATAAACACATATATATCAAAACCACACTACATTGAGAGAAAAATATCCATTAGCACCATAATTTCTAATAATATTGATTATAGAAATTAAGCATTTTGACTACTTTTAAGCATTTTCACTTGTATCAGAAAACGAATCTTGGGAATATTTAATCACAATGAGTTATTTATATAACCATGTGTACCTGCCTTTCTAATGTCCAGAGTTTTGATTGCTAGTTATAAAAAATAATTCTTATATCATGGTAGACCCATATGACAAGAATAGGGTAAGAGGAATGCATTTCTACACCGTAATGATCAAAGAAACGTATTGCGGATTACACCAAAATTAGGTCGGTCAGATCTACGTTACATATTTTTAGAGAACTCTGAATGTGCATTGTTTTCAACGTATGCAAATACACACTATACGTAGGCGTCCATTATATAATCAGCATGTTTTCAGGCATCCGACAAACAACGTATAAGTTTTGAAAAAAATCAGGTTTGCAGCAGGTTAATATGGCCACTTGGCATGGACAAGACTGGATTAGCAATGGTCAGAATTAGCTTTCGCTGTGAAGTAAATTTCCCGTTTAGCATTGGCAGCTATCTGAAGAACAGAGCTATTTAAAATCGTTGTTCGAAGAGCGATTACCGCTGGATTCTGTTTAGTCGTAATGGCAGGTCGTATGTGAACAGAATGAGTGTGTAAAGAAAATAGCTCTTTCCAGTTAAGATTTACTAATCCCACGATAAGAGGAGGAGGCTTTAAAGCAAATCTCCCGTATCTACTTGAGCCAAGAAAAATAAGCACATTTCCTCGCAACATTCGGGATACTCGCCATCACGTAAGCTTCGATACAAAGAACTCAGAGATTCGAGATTTTATTGAGATGAATATATTCAGTTACAGATGCAACAATTAAGGTTTTAATCATATGAGGACTTTTTCAATGATTTTATTCGTTTTCACAGGAATATAATCACATGCACTTAATTTAAAAACACATAAAAGTTTAACACACATGGCTGCAAATGTTTTAGTGTAATATTGGTTCTGCGTATGCTTAATGCAATGGAATATTGATATCAAAGATACAAATATGCAGTGGACATGAGGAAATACCAATGATGTAAGTGTAGCATACATCTGCATGATTATGTGCAAAACAGAATAGTTAGAAGGTATAGGATGTTTGAACCAACAAATGTCATATAGAAAGTGTGCATGGATCAAAAGCAAACGTGACCTTAACACAATGCCTTTACTCATGATACTGACATTTAAATAAAGACTGGAATATTGCTACAAAGATTGCAAAACAGGGAAAACTCACTCATTCGTCTTCATCGGCATGGCCCCCATGAAAACCCGGGAAGAGAATAGGGCTTCAGCATCACATGCTTGCCGTACGGGGGGACTATGCTTGCGTAAGAGGCGACTAACGGGATCGGTTGGTCAGGCTCGGTGACTTGGTTGATGCATGTCATTGTATCCTTATTGCCTAGATTGATGCTCATGATGTCAAACACTGGATTATCTGTTCCCGACTCACATATATACAGAACGCTGTCATATAGGTGGAATATAACTGAGTGTGGCGTTAAACAACAAAAAACAAATCATTGGCCTGGTCATCACAAGGGGCATTTTACAAGATTTTGACACTGCTTTGTCCTGTGTGAGTAACAACGTTAGGTCACATGAGATATAAGATTAATAAAAATCTCTTCTTTATTCCTTCATTATTTCCACATTTCACTTTTAGAAAATATTATATATCTGCAAGAAAAAAATATCTGGTTTTAAATGAATAATTTATAATTGAAAGCAAGTATATTGACCTCCATATGTAGATTAATACTTGCAGGTTGGAATTTATGGTCTTGGGGTTAGCCAGCGAAATGAGCACAAACGTTTATTTGTGAACATGACATACCTGTAGAATAGCGCCTGTGTCAAAATAATTATGATATCAAAGTTTGATGAAGTATTGGGTGTTTGGGTTGCGCATGTGGGGGCTCTATGATACTAATATACCACGCCAGGTCTTCATCTTAGCTTATATTGCGAAAGAACACCATACAATAAAGTCGATACAAACATACATTAACATGTGATATCAAATTGAAGATAAATAGCGCAAGAATTAAGAAAAGTCAATGAAATCGTTCCACTCTCTCGTTCAATCTCAGATCTCCCTTGAACAAATGCATATTATATACAGATGCCATATTCGCATAGAAACATAGGGGATAGAAGATGCACGCCCTGAACCGATTGTACATTGGCGCTAAGGAAAACAGAATTAGAAAGAAGCAATAAAAGTGGTATTGGATATCTCTATCGACATCTGTGGGTCCCGTACCCATGTCGATTCTGGTAATAATATGTGTCCCAGCAACCCGCAATACGTATTCGTAAGAGGCGACTAAATGGATCGGGTGTTTACCAGTTTTAAAAAAATTAGACGAAGCGGGTTGATAGCCCTCTACTTACCTATGAATATACTCTGTCACTCAGAACATGTTGTGTCTACCAACAAAGTCGAACTGGTAATCTCCAAAATGCTCAATTTCAATCTGCCACACCAAGCGTCAACAAGCAGTTATGCAGGTGTTGATAAACCAGACTGACGCAATGAAGTAAGTAAATACTTGTCACAGGAAAATACTAAGCTTGAATATATTCCATATTAAACAAACACATTCTGGTTTGATGCGGGTATGCATGGCCCGAGGTCACATGAAGTTTATGACAGGATGATTGGTTTGAACCTTGTATATTTTTCGCAATCAATATAATCGTTTAAAGATTCCAGCATGCATGGGGCCATACCAAAGGCGCCTTCTAAGCATGTATTAGATAACACTGGGGATGTCTGTTGCCTCATGAAACACCGCCTCAGCCATGAAACACCGCCTCGCCCATCCCAAACCCGTCGGTAAGAAAACGCACAGTGTAAATTTCACTATTACTAGCGAAATTATCCATAATGAATTTGATAAATTAACAAACAACGCTACACAACAAGCAAACAAATTATCGCTTAATCATTTTAAGAATCAACATTTGAATCTTACACACCCAGCCTGTGATATTTTTATTAATCTATTTATGTCATGTGACTTAACGTTGTTATTCATGCAGGACAAATAAGTGTCAAAATCTTGAAAGATGCACCTTGTGATGACCAGGCCAATGATTTGTTTCATTGTTTGTTTTTACCGCAACACAAAACAATATTCCAACGATCTGTAAATAATCGCGTCGAGACCAGACAATCCAGTGATTGATATCACGAGGATCGATCAACGCTAGGAGCCTGACCACCCGATCCCGTCAGTCGGCTCTTACCGCAAGCATAGGTCGCTGAAGACCTATTTAACCCGGATCTTCACGGGTATACTATAAGTATGTATAGGATAACTTTGGATAACTTTTCCTGATGTATTTTATCACTGTTACTCAAATTTTAAACGTACATTCACTGTTATCACGGATTCATCTGTGCGGAATCATAATTTGTGTGATTCTTACCCCCATCAAATGATGATGATATCCAGCAATTCTTACTGTAACATCACACCTTTCACTTCTTTCTATAATTGTGCTGAAAAAAATCATTTCTATATTACAAGGAATGAGGTCTGGTTAATGGCGCGCTCGACGATCGGTTAAGTTGAAGATATTTATCTTCTCTATCGGTATGTTTGACGGGAACCACTTATACTATATATTCATGATAATCACTCTTATACTCGTTCTTACTTCTTACTCCTGATTACCTTACATTCATGAGAAGCACTATTATTCACATTCTCACTTCTTATACCTGCATACTATACATTCATGATAATCACTATAATTCACATTCTTACTTCTTATACATGCAAACTATAAATTCATGATAATCATTATTTTCACATTCTTAATTCTTACACCTGCATACAATACATTCATGACAATCACCATTATTCACTTTCTTACTTCTTATACCCGCATTCTATAGATTCATAATAATCACTAGTATTCTCATTCTCACTTCTTATACCTACATACTATACATTCATGATAATCACTATTATTCTCATTCTTTCTTCTTACACCTGCATACTACGCATTCATGATAATCACTATAACTCTCATTCTTACTTGTTATACCTACATACAATACATTCATGATAATCACTATTATTCGCATTCTTACTTCTTATACCTGCATACCATAAATTCATGATAATCACTAGTATCTCATTCTCACTTCTTATACTTGCATACTATAAATTCATGATAATCACTAGTATTCTCATTCTTACTTCTTGCACGTGCATACTATACATTCATGATGATCACTATTATTCTCATTCTTACTTCTTATACATGCATACTATACATTCGTGATAATCACTATTATTCTCATTCTTACTTCTTATACATGCATACTATACATTCGTGATAATCACTAGTATTCTCATTCTTACTTCTTACACCTGCATACTATACATTCATGATAATCACTATAATTCTCATTCTCACTTCTTACACCTGCATACTATACATTCATGATAATCACTATTACTCTCATTCTTACTTCTTGCACCTGCATACTATACAGTCATGATAATCACTATTATTCTCATTCTTACTTCTTATACCTACATACTATACATTCATGAAAATCACTATTATTCGCATTCTTACTTCTTATACCTGCATACCATAAATTCATGATAATCACTAGTATTCTCATTCTCACTTCTTATACCTGCATACTATAAATTCATGTTAATAACTAGTATTCTCATTCTTACTTCTTATACATGCAAACTATACATTCATGACAATCACCATTATTCACTTTCTTACTTCTTATACCCGCATTCTATAGATTCATGATAATCACTAGTATTCTCATTCTCACTTCTTATACCTACATACTATACATTCATGATAATCACTATTATTCTCATTCTTACTTCTTACACCTGCATACTACGCATTCATGATAATCACTATTACTCTCATTCTGACTTGTTATACCTACATACCATACATTCATGATAATCACTATTATTCGCATTCTTACTTGTTATACCTACATACCATACATTCATGATAATCACTATTATTCGCATTCTTACTTGTTATACCTACATACAATACATTCATGATAATCACTATTATTCGAATTCTTATTTCTTATACCTGCATACCATAAATCCATGATAATCACTAGTATTCTCATTCTCACTTCTTATGCCTGCATACTATAAATTCATGTTAATTACTAGTATTCTCATTCTTACTTCTTATACATGCAAACTATACATTCATGATAATCATTATTATTCACATTCTTAATTCTTACACCTGCATACAATACATTCATGACAATCACCATTATTCACTTTCTTACTTCTTATACCCGCATTCTATAGATTCATGATAATCACTAGTATTCTCATTCTCACTTCTTATACCTACATACTATACATTCATGATAATCACTATTATTCTCATTCTAATTTCTTATACCTAAATATTATACATTCATGATAATCACTAATATTCTCATTCCTAATTCCGTCGAGCACGCATTCGGCACCTAAGCCTTTGCAAATGCAAATAATTACAATAATCAAACAATACAAACATAGTGGCCGATAAAACTGACAATAAAGTGTTAATGTATAATCTACACGTCAAGGAATGGTGTAGTATTGTGTTTAAAATCAAAATATGAATAACGAAACACATATAAACACCATAGACCGCGTTTAAACGTTAAGGAATATGAACCAACTTACCATCTCACACAACACTTGTGCAGACACCCGGGGGCCATATCATAAAGCTAATTAGTTCCATAGTTACGAAGCCCAAAGACGTATATAGATGTACGTCTTTGCGTAGCCATACCAAAACATAACGCAGAAATGTTACAAAATTCCCCGTACTTTCGCCGGGGGCCCCGTGGGAATGTTGTGAAATATAATGAAATAAGTGTAGGTATATCGATATTGACACATATAGCAACGTTTGCTGTTTTACTGTATATAATGGTTTTGCGCCCTTTAATTAAGTGCATCAATGCACTGATTGAGAATTGTTTCCGTCAAATTCAAAACGTAGTTTGATTTTCGAATACATTCTGGTCAAAGGGGAACAACTCAGCTGAAATGGCAAGTGGACAAAACTGTCATCCTACCGCCTCAAAACGTCAGTAAAATGTCAAGTTGTCAATCAGTTTTTATGCGAGTATCCCACGCACACATGAATGATATTATAGCCCGATGGTTTAGTTATTTGACCATCTACCAGGAAAAGCGGTGGTTCGATGCCCTGTCCACGTGGTTCACTCCCTTTATGACTATACCCACTAAAAAGAAGGGGGCAAAAGAGCCTACCTGTAGGATAATGGACTGCTCCAGTCGCCATCTGTATCCAGCCAATATATAAATGAACAATGTCTAGATGTCTCTGAGTTGGTATTATGGGATAAAACTAGGTCTGGTCGGCTCGAAGTCAGTATACTGTGCCTGAGTGTGATAATATGATAAACTGCGGTACAGTATCTATTTGGGATTGCTCTACGAAAACTTCAAAAGACTTAAACCATATAAGTTTAAGTGTTATCGATTTTTCGAAAAGTAAATATTTTACTATCACAAGGATAGATAAGAATGTAGACATATCAATAACAAATGTATATAAACTGAGATGAACTTTTTGTCATTACCCTAGTGTGTGTACCAGATGCAGTGTGCACCTTCTGATCATTACACTGACAAACATCACGCATGACAACAAAAGCATACAGATATAGAGCTTTACATTATTCACGGCAACATTCATGTCTCCAGTTGTCTCTGAAGCAAAGAAAACACATGTATAACAAAATGGCGCACTGGTACAGAGAAAAACAAACACGTACTTCAAGTTATGACACGCTTCGTTTGATATGAACTAGCGCCCGACCTGTGAAAGAATAATCAGGAATACCCAGACGTTTTGTTTCATTAAGCGTGTCACACTCAGGTGCAAGTGCCAATAACAGTCGAATGTCTGCGAATGTCTGTTTTCCACTCGGTTGAACAGCCATTGTTTTTCCCTGATCGCCAATGCTCCCATGAGTATTGTGACGTCCTCGGTTACGTTTATAACAGCTTGGTGCGGGAAGGGAGTGGGAAAAATAGAAAAGAAGAAGTATATATAACATGTAACAAATGTTATATTTGGGATAACACTTTCTAAGTAAAGTACAGATTCTCGTACTTTTTGGGGGTACAAAAGACAATGACCTTCGTTACCTAAGTACATGTTCAACACATAAATGTACAGGTTAACTGTTTCCATTACTATTAGCACTTGGTGGATAATTCTAATATTTACTAAGCTGAAGAAAAGAAACAGGATGAGACAGTGAAGTTTGTTTGGTAGTCTTTCCTACATTTATTTGCCACTGGTAGGTATATTTATCTACAACATCGAGTGGTGATTGTGGTCCATTTTTGATTGTGCTTATCAATAACATGTCTTCCGCTAATAGTCCAGCTGGGGTATACTCTTGCTCGAACACCTGACCACGTTTCAGATGATCTGGATGGTGGATAGGGTCTATTATATACAAAAGGAACGTCCGCTTAGAGGATTCCACAATATTAATGTCCAACTTCTTGTTTGACACGGAGTACAGAACTTGTATCGCAATTACAAACAGGCAAGTCCTGATATGAGTGTTTGATGAAGTACCATGCTAGACCATGAACGCCCAGATTAAACAGTTTAAACAAATTGCCATTGTGCCAGATTTGTCAAAGGCTTTTTCAGTATCTAGCAATCCAACTTAAATACTCCCGTTCAGTGCAATATGCAATTGCCCCTTTAAGTACATCACTATTGTTGCAGCGTGTTCTGTTCTTTATCTACACTGCAGTGTGTGTGGGGAAAAAGGATTTATCGATTTCAGGTATGGTTTATGATCAGTCTTGTCAAACGGTGTCCTTTCGAATATTCCTTTATCAAAAGTAGACGTCTGAGTGATGCTTCTTGAACTAGTAAGAACTGAGTTGTCCATATTTTTGTCTTTATATATTGTATATGATTGTGACAAATCTGTTTGTTTCAAGCGTACAGCACGTTTTATTATCAAGTTGATGGCTTAATGTTTGTACAGGTACATCCCAGCATATCGAATATGTTCATTTGTAACAAGATCTGGTCCTGGATCTTTTTAGAAATATTTTCCATGTCGGCAGCGGCTACACCATCAGCCACTATAGGATCTCTGTTATGGTTCTGGTTTGCTCTATTTCTTGCTCTTAACTTTTGAAACTCTCGACAAAATAACTATCAAAGCGTGATGTTTCGAAAGGCAATCACAATAACACTTTGCCCACAGATTACAAGTCTCTGAAGGATTCGATACACATTTGTCGTTATACATTATATGAAACTGCATCGAAGCCTTGTTACTCATTCGTTGTATTTTCACAGTTTTATAGAGTTCGGAAAGCTGCGTTAATTTCTAAACACTTTTATTTATGCTTTCCTCTTCTGTCTTCCAATGTCGTACTTTGCAGAATTGTAACATTTGTAGGAGTAGTTGAGTTTACCTCTTAGGTTTTCACTGTCTCATTTGATAACCTAGGTTTGAACCTTTCCAATATGGTTTCATGTAGGATCTGTGTTTACCTTGTGACATAAACAGTGCTCTTGTGTATGCAAGTTCATATTACAAATATGTCCCCTGTGGCGATTGAGTTTCTGCATGTGAGGTTACAATTACATACTAGCAAAGTAGGCTACAATTCAATACGTAACAGAAATTCAGTCAAGAAGTCTCTTGGATAAATAACACACAATGTACATGTGCATTGATTTTATGTCGCTGTAAATTACAAACGCAAGCAGCCGATATAAACATTGTTTTATTGCTGTTGTTGTATCTACAGCTTGCCGGGGAAGTGGAGCTTAACCCGGGCCCACTTAACCATGAAAGTTAACAGTATGAGATTTACGTGTCTGTATTTCACCTCAACACAAGAAGTGTACGCAAAAGTTACCTTTTCCAGTATTGTTTTGACTTTCATGTTGTTCGTTTCACTGAAACTCCCAAGATGATAAAATCAATAACGATGTTATGCGATCGCAAGACTAACATGATCCTACAAGAAAACGTACAAATGCATGAGACATGAGACGTTAGGATATAAAAGAATGACTGTATGAGAAAATGTTCATGATGAAACTATATCTCTACCTAAGAAATCAATAATATTGCGTGTTGTGTACGTTATACAGAGCCGAGTAAAATAAGAATTATTCCTGGAATCGCCAAGACGACAGTATTGATGATGCGTTCGATATTACATTTTATTACATATTACATTTAGTGATTGTCGGAGATATTAGTGACAAAATCTTGTGACAACTGAAAAGACTTGTTAATGTAATGTAAGACAGGAAAACTGTAGGCAATTTGATAAATGAACCAATGTGGATTTCTGAAGCAACGAGTACTTTACTAGATTTGATAACTGTAAGTGAAGATGTTTCTGTCGATGATTCTGAAATGACTGATTTGATTATTGTCTATAGAGGCACGTATATATTAATGAAAACACATTTATCAACCGAATCATCATTTACTGGAGATGTATGGTGTTATATGGAAGAGCTGAATAAAATAAATTGGACTGACCCTTTTAAAAAATGTTTAGGTATATATTGATGAATATATTGAATGTCTTTACTCAAAATTTAAATATAAAAAATGTATGTTACAATACGACAAAACGATAAACCACGGTTTGATTCTGAATTACGGAGAGAAATAAGGAAAAGGAATAAGTTACTTAAAATTGCAGGATAAACAACAGCAAAAAAGGACAGTGAATGCGTCCGTTTTCCAATTCATATAAAGTTAGCTGCCTGCAGCATCAAATATTGGCTAAAACTTTTGTCAATGCACAAAAAGCTTATAATGTGTTATTATATATGGGCAATAATGGACAGCTTCCAAAATCTGACATTTACTTTTCTCGTATGGATTTGGGTTTGTTCGGCTGTCACATACTGTTGGAATTCCGTATAAGTTACTAACATTTTAACGATACGCACAATAGTTATTTTTTATATCAAAATTGGAGATCGATACTTGAAGGGAGTTTAAGTTATAGTTTATATAGGAAACTTAATATCGTGCATGCACCCAAAAAATACCTAAATGCTATTGTTGACGTCAAGCTTCGAAAAATATTAGTTTAATTCAGAGCAGGGCTACGACAAAAATAAACGAAGGTGGGTGGCAAAAATTGATATTTCCCTGAGAATATGTCCATTATTATGTAAAATCGGTGTAGAAGATGAATTTCATTTCAACATTTACATGTTAATATTCTTAATTTTAAGAAACGTCTTCTCACAAATGATATCTATAATGTGAAAATGTATTTACCATGCTTGCGAAAAGAGATGTAAATCCCTATGTGAAAAACAGGATTGTTAAGATTGCTACGTGTCAACTAAGTTATATAATATATTATCTCATTTTGAATAAAGCTTCAGATCGCATAAGTAGTAAAATTTAAAACATACAGTAGCAAGTAAAGTCATATGTTAATATTTAACTGATAACGGGTACCTAAATTCAAGTGTACCACATTGTTCGGTTTTAGGCCTTTTCCTGTGTTTGTGTGTACATCAATGATATAACTGATAAACCGACCCGTTTAACAAGACAATGTGGTGACGATACATCCCCGGGCATATAATTTAAAACTACTACGAATGGTAATTTAAACAAAATAAACGAATGGGCTCCAGACAGGCTAAATGTTTATAATCTCAGCAAAACAAAACCGAATTCTGTTTTCCACAAAAGGACTGCATCGAACTCCAAATTATTTTTTGGGATGAAGAAAAAACTAAAAATGGTAAAACACACAAATACCTGGGTGTTATCTTGTCGTCATCAGGCAAGTGGTCATGTCATATTGATTCAGTCATTAAAACTACATCAAAGATGCTAAATCTACAGTCCCATCGTGTTTCTCATATGGTCTCAGAAAAATATTCATTATACTTTGTACATACACAATAATTATTAAGACATGGTGATAGTGAATTAAACATGATTAATTAAGATAAGTTTAAACGAGGATCCAAACCGTCGATGTGGCTGCCCTGGGAAATGTCTATTTTTTTAAAAATTACCTGGAAACGATTTTTATTCACTCACTTTCGTTAATTGTGAAATATACTTGTGATGTCAATATTAATTTGATGCTAGTTGACAATGCAGATTTACCTAATCACGTCATCGAAAACATCTTTAGGAATGTACATATATATTTAAAGAAAAAAAAAAGGTTTGAGTCAAAGTTTATCTATTTCTCTTTTCCCTTTCTGTCATTAATGTATGAGTTGTTAAAAAGCATACTTGTAAATCTATAGGAGAAGGCGATCTAATGAAGTAGTCATAACTTGTGCCCAATCCTTTTCATGTAATTTAGATATGTTTAAACTAAAACCAAGAGGCGGCTTTGGTGACAATTGTGTGAGCACAAAATGTGAAGTGGCTGATTGTGTCATTCTACACTGAATGCATCAGTGGGCTGTTTATGGCCCATCCTGGATTACCTACAGACCACAGAAATAAGGTTAGAATATTGTTAAACACATTCATTCACACAGTCACAATGCCACAACTGAACGTGAAAACTGTTGATTGTATAACAATGACTATTTACATATAGTGAACATATATAGAAGCACAGTATATTACATTATACATTTCGTCTGGTGAAGGTAGATAATATGCATTTTCGTCTGGTGAAGGTAGATTATTCACTTTTTTCATATTGTTTACGCACATAGTAAAGTAGGTGTTCCAAATCTGAATATATGGTTACGTATTTGACGCTTTGTGAATTCAGTAACAGTGGGTGGCTCTACGTTAAGATCAAACAAATACAGGATTCCTCAACAATACCTAATAACCTCTTATGTTTTGTCCCTACCGAGCCCACTTGTCAATCCTCTTCCACCGACTGAAACTAACATGAGCCGTCCAATATATCACAATGTTTATAAATGCATTCACGTTGCATACATAAAAGTGGTTGGGAATTAATCAAGGTAAGTGTTGGACTTTCGAGTGTGTCGCTTCGATTTGACTTCGCATTGTTCCTACAGTAATAATAATAACTCTTGGGACAAATATGAACGTTTGCATGAAAGGTTTAACTTCCTGGAATCACAGCTTTATCATCCTCATCATCATGATGTGTATCAGATAACGCAAGCACCAAGCGGAAATTCTCTTGTTGATTAGGAGTTTCTCCTTATTATCGAAGTCAGTCAACATTATCTTGCCCGGTTATGATCACATTTCGTTGTTGGCTCTGTAACTTATCAAACATATTTGGGATGAGTATGGTTTGTCGTTTTCCTTCGTCCTCTCTTCGACACCATTTTCAAGCTTTGTTGGCTCTATCTTGTTCTGGTTGTTTACCCTATCCGATGCCTTCACCTCGATCATCTGACGGTTGCTTCCTATATTGTGTTCCACGAAGTCCGCTCCTAACAGTTCGTCCTCTAGGGACAGTCGGAGTCCCACTGTGAGATCAATGATCTTCAGGAACACAAATGAAATAAACGCCGACCACGCCACTAGTGTTAATAGCGCTAAAAGTTGTACTCCAAGGAGGTAGAACCCTCCGCCCTGAAAAAGTAAGAGAAGATATTCAATAAAGATCAAAATCTTTTGAAATTGCCTAATATTGGACATTTGACAACATTGAAAACGCACGTTACATTTTTTGCACCGTCGATATGTACGATGTCAATATTTATATGAAAGAACGGTTGTGTGTAAACATTTTTTCCACCAGTAAGTTGTCTTTTGTTTTGTCAGTAAATGTTCCAATTAACCTTCTGGTAATGGTGGAACGTAAAGAAAACCGCGGTTAGAATAAGCCCTAGGCCAATCAACAACACGGTAAACTAGTACTTGGTCAGTCCATTGGTGAAGATGTGCTGAGAACAGTAAACGGATTCTGAACATCTGAGCCCACACGTAGCATTTGAGAACGCGGTATCTTATATCACCAGAAAAAAGTCTAAGACAATGCAACTTCCCTTAACAGATCGCCCAATGCCATCGATCTCCTTAAATAATCGCCGTCATTCATCGTTTCCGATGTTGTCAAGTTGTACTTCCACTGACTGCATTAAGTTGCGATAGAATTATAGAAACATTAATAATCCTAAAGCCAGATACTTTAACACAAAATTGAAAAATATAATTTGATGGATGTATAGTCGGAATTAAATCAGGAAAAAAGAAAGAGACATGGTGGATAAAACCAGACAAGCAGAAACTTGATTTCTTTTTGGTTTCTCAGGATATTTCTAATATGACGCTAGAATGGAAAATTGTACTTGGATATAAATCAGACCATTCTGCGGTTACATTATATTAATCTATTCAAATACACTTAGTCAAGAAAGAGGATATAGTTACTCGCAATCTAACACTTTGCTAACACGATTGCTTTCTATCTTGAAAGAAACTAAAGATGAATACTCAGATAAAAATAGACTCAACTTGCTGAAACAAATGACTTAGACATTTAACTTGACATTAATGAATTTATATTTTTAGAAACTTTATTTGGGGTGCACAATTAGACGTAGAACAATATACTTTTCATCATACTTAATAACAAAATTAAAACGACTTAGAAGATTCCTTAAGAATAAAATACCAAAAATATAGACGAAAAGTAACTAGCAGAATTATCGAAACACAGAATGTTAACCATTAAAGAATGTAAGAAGTATAGCAATCACAAATAAAATTAATCACATGAAGAAGGTTAAATACTGCTGCCATCAAGAAAACAGGACATTAGCAAGATGTTTAAAGGCACAATTACAGACACAGGTGCTGACATTACAGATGGTACATTGACAGCGAATGAATTTGCGAACTACTACAATTTTGTTTATACTGTAGATAAACCTGGCTTAAACGATGAAGATGCCCAAATATAGTAATTATGCAAGAAATAACCGAGAAAAAGAAATAGATCTTGAAGAAATTGTATTCGCAGTAAAATTCTTTACATTTTTGCCCCGAAAAGAAACAAAAGAATGTTTGCGGTATTATCCTGTTATCATTTTCGTATTTTAGTGTTCATGACATAAAGTAGGTTCTTACCCGGACTAAACCGTTGCGCTTTGAAAACGACATAGTTATCGTGTCCTCGTGTGCAAAGAATCCAGGTGCGAGTAATCCCCATGCCCCGCAAACTCCATGAACCGGAAATGCTGCCACTGGGTCATCGATGTGCAAACGGTGTAAGAGAGCGTCAGCTGCGCAGGCTAACAAGGCACCGATTGCTCCAATGATGAGGGATTCCCATGTGCCAGTCACCGCGCAGATAGCTGCAGTACAAGGTATTTTGAAAACATATATATACATAATATTGGTTTAGTACCAAGAGAACATAATATAATGTATATATATATCACAATACATAAGAATAAGGTACATGTATAGATTGTGAATGTGCGGTACGAACAGTGCCTCACCCATTTCTACATACACCCCCCCCCCCCCCCCCCCCCCCCCTACACATACACATACATACGAAAAACAAGTAAAATAGTGTTGACTTATGGAATGACAGCTTCGAACATCAAGCGTAAAGTCAAAATCCACAGATGCCCTCGGCCATCACGTGCACAAGCGTCACACCGCACCCTTGCATCCCGTGCATGCCCATATGTTCCCCTCGAAGTGATAGCCACCAAACGATAAAAACAATCCTATTTGATTTTACCCGAATCAACAAATCATTAATCATATACATTTGTACGTGTGCACAACTGTCTTGTCGCTGCCATCAAAAGTATTACTTCTTCAAACCAAAGGTTCTAAGGTGTTAATTTGTGGTCATGTTGTTATTGATTATCTTCATCAACGTGTAAAGATATTGCACGTGTTCTAGCCTGACAATCATGTAAACACTTTCATTTAAACGTTGTCGTTTCTCTTAAAAAGAAATTGCAATACATACAATTTGTCTGAAAATGTTGAACATTCACGTGTTCATTAAAGTTTTAAAATCTTGCGTCACATGAATGGTTAATCTATACGACGTACATCTCGTGGGTCGGCCATTAAATTCCGTATTGAATAAATCTAAACATTTCGAAATATCTTCGTAAATATTCTTAAAAAAAGGCATAAATTGGATACATGAATCGTTATTAAATTAATAAAGGCTCGTCTTTAGGAAACTAGAATACAAATCGTTATAATAAAAACTCACCCGTTATTGAGACCAAGGCACCCAACACTCCATTCACAATGTAGCCGATTTCAAAAATCCTCTTGTTGACAATATAACTGAAAATAATTGTTTGGACAATTTATACAAATATTTCTCCAACAGAAACTGCCTCAATTATGAAAGAAATGAATTTGCTCTCATGCACTTGTGAATCATTTGTATTGGAATCGTTGGAATTTCTGTTTGCTATAAACAATATGTTGCTGAACAATCATTACCTTTCTTAACATTTTATAGAATGATTTGAGCAGTAGTAAACATTATAGAAGGATATTGTTTACGCTTCTATAGATAACCGATAAAGGTGGATTGCTGTGGAACTATTGATTCACGTTTTAGACTTATTAGTCAGCTCGGAAATTCATTCTGGATAAAGATTCACCAGGAGTCATGAATACCATACCATGTTGTGAGACAAAAGATTGACTGTCGTTATGGCACTGATAGCTCTAACAAAGACTAACAAAATACTAATTTACCTGGCGACGAATGCCGTTATACCACCACCCGAGGCAGACATTAGGGTAGTGGCAGCACTCCTGAAAAAAAAGATCTTATTGGTAAATTATTTGTGAACGTGGAGTTATGTGAAATGATTTTGAAAATGATTTGGGGTTTAACGTCGTTCAACATTATTGGACTTTAATAGTGCAGTGTGTGCAAGTGTGTTGCTGCTTGTATTGTTCTGGATTCATGCCGGTTTTATAGTGCCTGCCAAGTGAGTTACCATACCGCAGTTTACCATTAATAACCATTCATATACATAATACTCACTTCGAGACGACCAGTCCTTGTTTTTTATGTTTTGTTGGCAAAACACCAAGAAAAAGACACACGTAATATAAAGTTAAAGATTACAGGAAGGTGAATACATTGTTCTTTAAAACTGTGTGTTAGTTACCTGGCAGCGATTTTCCATTTGCCATCACTTATGCCATATGTGCTCCCACAGTTAAACGCAAGCCATCCCCACCTGAAAATAATAATTCATTAGGCGTTAAACAATTATGAAAGTAGGGTTTCCACGGCGAACACAAACTATCGTTTGCGCTTAGCAAAAGGCGTGTAAAGTTATTTAGCAGAATCAGCAGAATCGCAGCCATACAATAGCCCCGACGGTCTGTTGTCTGAATCTGGCAATCCGATGACAGCGCGAGTAAAGATCCAAGTCGTCGAACCACGATGAACACAACCAGTCAATTCATACATGGTGACACTTGTTCCTCTTTAGTCTCCTCTTAGAAGCATGGTGAGCTACGCGGGGACATATTCTCACACAGAATCCTCGCGTGTAATTCCGTTTGCATATGAACATATTTTTTTCATGTTAATGAGTAGACGCATATACTATATATTATCCTTTATATCCTACTTGATATTATGATTGTCCAAAAGCTCGAAAAATTTCGAGACAGCACAACTTTGTTTTCAACAAGATTGTATGCTTCATCTCAGAGCATAGATCGAACATATATACCTACCATAACATGAATGTTCCTAATAAAGCATTTGTTGGGTTCCCCATGCGATGGTTGTTCTGGCTTGTGAATCTGTCCACCCTGGGTTTGATCATGATAGCCGCCACTAGGGCCGTGGTGCCACCCACCACATGAACAGGCCCGTCCCCAGCTACATCGACGACGTCTAAATTCTTCAGGAATCCTGTCTCCGCCCACATCCAATGCGCCGGGAAGCAATACACAAATGTGTTGAAAAAGGAAAATATAATGTACGCTGTAAATTTGGTTCTTTCCGCCATAGCTCCTGAAACAGTGAGTGAGTGAGTTGGGTTTGAACGCCCCTTCGAACAGTATTCCAGTTATATCACGGCGTGTCAACTTGATGTGGGAGGAAAGCCCGAAATGTTGCAGGTTTTAGACGTTTATTTTTAATTCAAGTAAAAACATTTTCTCACTTACCTGAAACAATTGTTGTAGCTGTTGTAGCAAATGAAGCTTGAAATACGAACCGAGAGTACTCCTCGCCCATTACAGAGTCATCTATAAATACAATAACAATACATGCAACAACAACAACAATAACAATAATAATAATAATCCTGTTTACCTGGGGAAGGAGTTTTTGACCATCTCGTGGAAGGTCAGACCTATACTTAGGGATGCAGATTAGGGACAAACTCCAGAATGCCCATATCAAGGACAAACTTCGGGCAGAATACAAATGTAGGCTTAAGAAAATCAGAGCTGAAGTCAGAGCTGAAGTCAAAGCCATAAATACTTATGCTGTACCCGTCCTTTCGTATTTTTTGTGTGTGGTTGAATTGACGAAACAAGAAATTCAGGGTTTTGACATCCTCAGACGAAGAATCATGTCAGACAATAGATCCCACCACCCTCGTTTTTCCCTCAGTCTCTTATCATATTTACCAACTATACTGGGAGGGTGTGGTTTGATTAACGTGGAGGCTCTTCATGATAGATTGTATTGTGCAATTTTGTACACATTTTGTTGTCTGTTCATCTTGTGAAGCATGTCAAGAATTATGATGAAAACAAGGCATTCCACAGTTTTGTTAAACGAGCCAAGGATGTGGGACATAATCTCAATGTCAATGGTGATTTTGTTGATGGTTTTGTACTGCTGGACGGTACACACATGGGTGTCAACCAAGCGAAGTGCCATATCAACTCGGCCCAGACTCAGTGTTTCAAGGAGAGGCTATCTGAACGACCACTGCATCGAGTATATGTGCAGTGTGTTGAGAAGTTCAGCAACCATGCAGAGTCCTTCCCTTGGATGAAGTCGGGTGGCCTGAAAAGTGACACATAAGGTATTCTGTTTGCTTCTCAGGACCAGTCTCTTCCCACTCGAAACCGTCAATGTGTGATTTTGCATCAAAATGTAAGTATGAAATGTAGATTATGCAATGAATTTAATGAGACTGTCCAACACATTGTCAGTGGATGCCCAGCTTTGGCACAAACACAGTATCTTAGGCAACATGATGGAGTGGCTCGATCATTTTATTACCGTCTTCGCAATGCTTGTGGTTTTGTCACAGAGGTCCATCCATGGTACGACCCAGAATATGTAGAGGGCGTCATGGAAAATTATAAATAGAAATTGAAATAATTAAGATTCGATTGCACATTTAATTTTTATGAAGATATTGTATTTTATTTTCTAAATTGTAATTTCTATTTGTTTTCTTTCTATGCGTGAGGCCTCGGAATTGGTAGCGAGCTCGAATCAGTAGCGAAATGCCAACCGTATTTGGGTTCGAATCGCAGGATAGGGAACTATTTAGATAAAACTACAGTACGTTTGGCTCCAAATGAGAACGATAAATTGCAAAATAATTCAAAATCGGAAATACTCTATTTAATGTCAACGGCAATGAATATCCTGTACCCAACAATATCTGCTGTTTATTGTTTTTTTCCTCATCACTTGAAAAAGTTGTTTAAGAAACTATCATGTTGTGATGTGTATTGAACAGAGGGGGGCACAAGGGTAGGAGGAACAGCGCAAACACGCACTTGCTACACAAAGGTAGAAGGAATGACAGCATAATAGGGTTAGACATGATTTAATTTTAAACGCAATCTGACTAGCTCATGTCACAGCACTGTCAGAATAAAATTGGTATGGGCAAAACTATACTTTAATACACAACAAATGGGTTTTGTTTGTTTGTTGTTTAACGCCGCACTCCACAATATTCCAGCTATGTAACGGCGGTCTGTAAATAATCGAGTCTGGACCAGACAATCCAGTGATTGATATCATGAGCATTGAATTTTACGCAACTGGGATACGATGACATGCATCAACCAAGTCAGCGTGCCTGATCCACCCGATCCCGTTAGTCGCATCTAACGACAAGCCTTGTCTCCTCTTACGACAAGCATAGTCTCCTCATACGACAAGCATGGGTTGCTAAAGACCTTTTCTAACCCGGGTCTTCACGGGTACTACACATGGGGTACAGCAAAACCTCGTGTTTTATTAAAGGTGGGTTTAAAACGAATTATCAAATAAGCGGTGCCTTCAATTGAAAACTGACGGGCTGTTCCACCTGATTGACTGTACCCCGGCGTAAAGAGACAAAGTACGTTTTGAAAATTGGTAGTTTGTGATTTAACTGAGTCACATTTTATTATCCGTTCTGTGTGTGCTTATTCGTAACCCCATACAGGATTTATATTTACGCTTTTATAACAATGTGCTTCAGTTCAATCACGTGACTTGAAACATTCCACAAGTGCATTACGGCGCCGAGCTAAGACTTGTAAACAAGCTTTTAAGCCGACGTTCGGTTTTGCTGGTTTTTGTGATTATTTTGTTTTTTGTCGCAAAAATTGCAACTTTGTTCCACCGCTAATGCAAGGAGATTGAAACTGCAAGCCATGGTATACTGTACTTACGGAGTTGGTTACACTACACGACACCGTAACCGACGTGTACCAGTGGCTTGGGGAGTGATATGGCGTGGCCGTGGGACGAACATGGTGGAAGAAAAGCAACTGCGTTCGTTTCGTTCGACTGCAGTATGTTGCTAAATGCCCTACATCGAGCAACGGGTGTACATGTGGTTGCGAAACTCTTCAAGCATTGCTCATGCCTGTGTCCAGAAACAGCCATAATTTCTAGGCCAAGGGCACCAACGCCCGCCACGGAAAATGTTATGGCTGCTTTGGCACAAACACAGGGGGAAAACCCCGCGGTATGAAAGATGCTTGACATCTTGCTGTATGTCTTCCCACGGAACAATATTCAATTATTCCACAAGTTTAGATAAACTATTTCACCGACTGATAATGATGTGGATGCGCCATCTTGATTCCGTCAGTAATAAAAAATGATATTACCAACGATACGTTAGTTGATGGGGTAGGTAATGTGAACAGCGTTATGACATCAGTCCATTATGACGTAACGAAAAGTATCTTTGATCTTTCAGTGAAGCATCTTTGAACACCCTCTTATCACCCTTGACGAGCAGTCAAATAGACAGGAGGTCATATCACGACAGCAATGTACGCATAAGGATAAGTAGCCTCCATGTTTCTGACCCTGAAAGACGTTTTGTACGGATGCGGATCAATTGCATACTACTGTACCTGGATTTAGAAAGAAACGCCCAACTCCACAAAATGCGTTAGTTCCTGGGTCAGTTCCAAAACTTAATCCATAGCCAAACATCCAGTAGGATATTCCGCCAAAAATAACATCCGCGACGTTTTTGGCCATGACGTTGACTTCATTTTTACATCCGGCAAATCCACTCTCCAAGAGCCCAAACCCTGAAACAACACAAAGTGGTCAAACGTTGTTTAAATTGACACAACTAATATTTTAGTGCATGCATCCCAATTACTTCACATTGCCTTATCAGGCAAGAGCCATATTAGTGTAGGATGTTGTCTGCAACTGTAAGTAAATCAATGTCAGGCCCAATTCGTGCATATGCCCCAGGGAGCTAATTATGACATTCGAGTGCACATTGATGCATTGGGTCACAATAGAGTGCTTTCAGTATGCTTTAGTGTGTGGATGTGGCAAATTTTAAATGTGCACATGATTATCCTTAAGTTACCGATCTTCCTTGAGCTATGGATATGAAGCACCCGTTCGTGAAGCAAAGATGTCAAAATCACATGCAGCTTGACGCATAACAACACCTTATGACGTCAGTAAACTACTTTGAAGTATATATTGATCAATGAGTGCATTTTTAATACTGTTATTTTTTGTAAATATAAATTGATCGTATACAACATTTTAATTAATACCGTCATTTTTTTATAAATATAAATCGATCACAGATTGCATTAAAATTTTCTATTCCGTTCGGCATGCAGTAGGATGTGGAAATGATATGAGTACGGAAGTAAGCCCGCTGGCTGTTTTTGGTAGAACACGTTTGTGACAGTATACAAAACATGTAAATAGAATCAGTGAGTTAGATCTAACGCCGCTTGATAATATGTCATTTATATCTAGGCGTGTTAGTTTGATTTGGGAGGAAAGTCCGAAGGGAAACAGGTAGTCGACGTTCACCACTTTGATGAAATCCAAGAGTACGGGTATGGTGCTGACAAACCTAGCAGCAGAATGATGGCGAATCTAGGATTCGAACCTGCGTTTTCCGGCACACCTGAAGGACTCAACTCTACAAAGAGAAGCGAAGCTCTTTAAATGCCTGGGCCACTCCTGGTCCCTATGGTACATGTCATCTCCACTTGAAATCATACTTAAAATGGCCTCCGTGGTCTAGTGGATAGAGCGTAAGGCCCGAGGAAGGAAGGTCGGCGAGTCGACCTCTTTGGGGCGTCAAACCCACTCGGTTTTAAAGCGACAAATCAATGGACTTGCCGGCTAGGAGTCTGTGTAATGTATCTGAGTTGTGTATCCATGTAGAACTGCGGCATGGTTTTCTAGTGGGCTAGCACTATGACACCGATATAAGTTCGGACTAAGACAAGCACACACACGCACGCACGCACGCGCGCATACACATACTCGCCGACTCAAAACCACCTCCGTTACACGCCTACCCTTCGGATGTGAATGTGAGAACCCATTTGTAACATTCAAGAAATCCTCTGTTCTTTTCCGTTTCGTAATGTTTGACTGTCAATAGCATCGTACTTAGCATGTCTGGGTTGTGAATGAACGACTATAAATAGTGTGCATTTCAGACTTTTGACTTCACCCACATAATGTCTTTTAAAAACCAATTTGATGTAAAACCAGACCAAAGAAACCTAAACACAACCTAATTCTTGCTTACAAAAGAAACTTGTCTTTTGGAAAACCATGCGAAAGGATGCGACCCTTGAAGTGAAATTGAGGTTTATTCCCGCACAGAGGTTTCATATTTTATATGACGTCAATTGGAACCGAAGCGTAAGGTTCCTAATGTAACGCTAAGCGCGGTTAAAATCTACAGGTGCTGTACATTGAAAACACAGTATGTTTATCTGACTAAATAAGGGTCTTTTTCTTTGGTGTTAGCAAATATATTAAGTGAAACAGCATGGTTTGAGTCTAGTGTTTTGAATTGCGGAATCATCAACAACAGCTCTCCGGCAGCCGTCGTTTATCCAGTGGCTTTGCATTCCTTGTTAGAGAATTAGTAAACCCGTAAATTTTATTTTCCAGCCAACTAATTGCACACATTTATCATGTATTAATTTGATATATGTTATTTCATATATGTTTGATACCTTATTCATGTGTTGGAAATGTTTTTTTGTTACTTTTTACACATGAGCGGGATCATCTAGTACTTGTAGATACTTCTTATGTATTTATGGTCATTTTTGCCACCTCAGTAATCGTACATATCTGATTATATCTGTAGTGGTACCGCTTCTGTTCAGCGCTATATTTTGGTATTTACATCTTCGGTCTTGGTTTAGCAGTTAGTTTGCTTTTCGTGTTTTTCCTATGTTGAAAAACACACTTGGCTAAAATCTCAAGGCTATTTTATCCCCACGTCTGACCAGAAAATGTTGTTTTCTCTGACGTCTGCGCACACGTATAAAACCTTTGATAAAATCATGTGTCTTGACCGCCATTGTCTACTGCAGTGGTCATTCGAAACTGAGGTTTTGTTCGTAAGTAATTACAGGGCAGTGTTAATCTAGTACTGTCTATCTCTGGTTTTATTGAGATACACGTATCAGTTTTCATAAGTGTATCTGGAAATCCGTGGATAACTAACCTTCCCGCGATTGTCTTGTGTAGGCCAAGTACCTGTTTAACTATTTGGAATCAAGTAACTCTTTCGGTCCAGTACCCTGTTTAATGATTGTGAGTCTAGATACTCCGTAGATCAAGTACCTTCGTGAAGTTTAAAATTTCCTTGTCCAGTTAAAGTCTTTTGTCTGTTAAACTAGTTTGATATTCAGGCGATTTCCGTCTAATTTATTGTCCAAGAGACTTGTTGTAGGAATAAGCTCCCTGCGTTTATTTCCCGCTATTTAACCCAGCCGAGGATATTCTCTCATTAGAGTGTTAACCGGTCTATGCATCTTGTCCGTACCTTGTCAAAGTGTTGTTTTAGCTTCACTTATTTTATTACTGTTATACAGTTGCTTTGGTGAACTATATAATATACCCAACCACCCAACCAAAGATTTTCTTGAGATTGTGGCCAGGTAAATGCTCACGGTTATACACTACTTGACTTTTGTAAATCAACCAATATGTATATTTTGAACGGTCGCTTTGGGGAGGATATAAGTTTGTTGATAATGTAACTTGTGAGAACGTTAGCCTAGTAGACTACAGTTTTGCAACTGTTATTTTGTGCCCATATTAGTAACTTTGAGGTATTAGAGTTTTATCCATGGTTCGCTTTGTGAATTTACAATGAATGTTCACTCGGCGGATACTTTCATGTGAAACATATCCGGAAATGGATCAAGACCTTAGATAGGAAGACTTTAGATAATACCAGTAATGAGACTAATCGAAGAATTGGATTCGATGGCCGCCTTCTCATCAACAGACATTGAACCTATAATGAAGAAACTTACAATTGAGAAAAGACAGCTGAACCGACGTTTGGTATACGTACTTATGTCAAATACTCTTCAAAGATCAAGACTAAAAGCCAAAAAAAAAATCATAGTTTGATAATGTTTGCAAAATACTGAGAGGGAAATGTTTTCGGGCTAAACATATTTTTGCAATAAGAAATACAGCAGATAATTTGCAGCTAGCAAAGAACGCTAGCAAATCGTATAAGAAATGTATGTTTAAATATTGAAATTTGCAAAATTTCAAAATCGAAAAGCAGCGAAGTTCTTTAAGGGTTAATAACATATAATCGTTTTGGAAGATTCTGAAGTACGGGGTTGAGAGAGCGAAACCAGGCAAAGTGCCGACACTGGAAGACTTATTCGCCTTTATTAGCAATCTGAAAAATTACGAAAAATATGATCACTAGTGGGCCTGAGTTTCTTTTATTAAGATTATGGATGAAAACTTTTACTTTAATAGTCCAATAACACAAGAAGAAATAGTACATTGCGTAAAACAACTAAAAAGTAACAAATCACCTGGACTTGATGGCATAATTAATGAATACATTGGGCATTCCTTAGAAAAACCTATGTGTATATAAATTATTCATTACTGTTTTTAATCGTGGCATTTGCCCTGAATCCGGCTTGTCGGTATCATGATACCTATGTACAAGAAAGGAGACCTTTCCCAACCAGTAAACGATTGCCCTTTTACTTTACTTAGCTTTTTCGGAAAATTATTTACCTCAGTAATCAATAACAAACTTACTAACTTCATCGAAACAAACCAGGTCTTAGTGAAACACAAACAGGATTTCTCAACTGCAGACAATATATTTACCTTTTACGGCCTTATTGAATTGTTAAGAGCAAAGAAGAAACAACTACTTTGTGCCTTTATTGACTTTTGCAAAGCGTTCGACGATTGTCCTGTAATATGTCGGGAAAGTGTTTCAATGTTATTTATAATATGGATAGAAATATCGCATCTTATGTAAAAGTAACTACTCTGAGCTCTTCCCATGCTCAATTGGGGTGCAACAAGGTGAAAACCTGTCACCTGTACTATTCTCACTTGTTATAAATGATTTAGAACAATACCTTAAAGATCATAATAGTAATGGCATTTCAATTAATTTGCTCCCAAATGATATATGTGTGCTTTTAAATGTATTCTGTTGTTCTGTTGTATGCAACGATACTGTCATTTTAGACACTATTTCTAGAGAACTGCAAAACACATTGGATAACTTTGAAGTGTTCTGTAAATCCAAAATAGATAAAAGATTTGTCTTCACTATAAATAATTCAGGTGTTGAAAATACTAACGAATTCGAATATAAGTATCTAGGAATAATACTATCGAAAAATAACAAATTCGTCACATGTAAGAAACAACTTGCTGATAAAGCTACAAAGCTATGTTTTTTGTACTGAAACAAAGTCGTTTACTTAATTTATCATTCCAATGCCAATTTTTTTTTATAATTTGAATGTATGGTAAACCAATATTACTTCACGGCTAGGACATATGGAGCACGGGCAACAGTGCAATACTCGAAAATCTGCAGTCACGCTTCTCAAAAATGTTGAAAGTTAAAAACTGCACACCACTTACTATGTTACATGGGGAAACTTTCCCGTTATCTGTATATGTTGAATTAAGTGTGCTTTGTTATTGGTAAACATTAGTGCAATCCAAATCTGCGAAGTTGTCACATATAGTGTTTCAATTATCACTACATGATGTGAATTCTGCTATCTGTAAAAATAAATGGGTTACTTATGTAAAATAAATACTAGAAGATCTGGTATCTGGTGATGTTTGGCTGTCACAATGCGGATTCGATTGAAAGACAAATGTTTACAGGTCTGAAACAATACAATTACAAACTCATCAAAAATCTCATCTTATAAGATATATCATATATATATCATATATCATTTGAGGAATACCTTAATATATGGATGTAAAATGTAGAATGCTTCTATTGTACTTGTACCATTGTATGAAAGAAGCTGTCCACTCTGTAATCAAAGGGATATTGGAGATGAATTCCACTATATATAGGTCTGTACTTTTTTTCAGCCACGAAAACATCAGACATTTGCCAGCATACTTCACACATCATCCCGAATATTCTGAAATTCCACCTCTTTTCTTGAGCCAAAAAGTTTGTATATCTAGAATCTCAATAGATTTTGCAAGAGTAAAATAAAACAATTTAAGTCCTCCAAGTAATTTCAATATCACTGTATTTCTGTAACTATTGTACTCAGTGTCTACCCTGTCCACTATCTGGTATATACACACTATTTACATGTATTGTAAGCCTCGTAGGTCATGGTTCACGGCCAGAGTGAAAAGTAAGTTCTATCTGTCTGTCTGATAATCAGCTTGTGTATTTGCTCTGATTTAAATATTAGTAATCAGTGATCATTGTCAGTGTAAATTGGGCTTTTGGTTATTTATATTTCTTTTGATACAATAACTGATAGTAATAAACCTATGAACCTATTACCACGTTACTTATTATTAGTTTATTCTTGTTTACTTGCACCCTGGTCCCTGGAGCACAGCTCCGTGACACAACCTTTAAACAAAAATTGGCGCTGTATATGCTCAAGCAGTTTGTTTCATCATAATACTTCGCTCGAACATATGACAATTATCGAAAGCATATAAGCACGGCAACTTGGTAGGCTAACAGGAGGTGGTCACCCTTACAGAAAACGAATCAAGCTCTGCAAAGCTTTCGTTCTACACCGCACGTCATCATTACGACGTCATATATCTAACTGTGAGGCAAAAAATATGACGTCACAGTCGTATATAGAAAAGAGCCAAATTTCAAGCATATTCTTTATAGATTTCTATTGTGTTTTCTGCACGAAATGTATTGCCACAGATCCTTTGCATATTGTAGTAACCACAACTTTGAATTTTGTAACCTATTCTTGTAGATATAATTATTTACATATGTCTTCCAGCAATGACTAAAAAAAGTACTATTCTATGAATATTAACTTCGGCGGTGATGCGGCCGTAAAATCGGCTGTTTCAATCAGGTGGAGTTTTATTGTGATTTGACAACCTCTGATCGACCAATCAGCATCGAATAATTTCCAAATGTTCAGAATACTTCATTACTTATCTGTGTATAGGTTCCTGTGAATAAGTCCTCATGGAACTAAAGACATTCTCCATTATATATGAGTGCAGTTCCTGCACGTTGAAAAGGCTGGGGAAAATTCCATTGGGGAATATCGATCACACAGTCGATTCAAGGAACCACAGATTCATAGTTGACAGAATAAAAACAAAACAATATCCGTATCAATACTTTGACAATTTGAATGTTTGACTTGACTGGCTGATCATATATTAGCAGTGCTTACACGTATCAATATACAATGTATATCCCTACAAATTATGTTATGTTATGTTACAACACTTACATGTAAGATACGAACAATTTCATCTGAATTGATTTCTTTTTATTTACAAAATTTAAGCGTATCAGGCTATATCTGTTTTATACATATGAATAAGTAATTTACAGTAGCAGCGAGATTTGTAATTCATGCAAACAGTTAAGTCCAAACAATGCAGATCTACTTGTATCTTTGAAGTGAATCCATTGCTATTTCAAACAATTTACCCATACCGTAGCAGTAACGAAATGACCCTACCTGACTGCATGGTAAATATGATGAAGGAACTTGTTAGAATCCATGTAGCATCGTCCCAAGTTGGCGCGTTCTGGACATCTGCAGCCTTTGTTGAAGATTGGACTGTGGTCATCGACGACGTGTTGTCGGGAAATGGTGACATAGTCGTAATTTCTAGCGAGCTGGTATTTGTCGCCATGTTGCACCAGTTGTAACTTGGACTAGAAACGTCACAGTCTGTCGGAGGCCACAAATTCATATATTTTATATGAACAAGAATATTTCTATATCTGTCTTGGATAACACGCGAACACTTTGTCTAAATTGAAAAAAGTGTTGAAATGTCACTTGAAAACGCATAATTGTTATAACAATAAACTGTATAAATCCATACTCAATTCACAGATGGTCAACATGTTTTGTCCAGAGGAGCTACATCCTTATACTTCATCACAAATCATCACTGATCCTTATGTCTAACACACCTGTTCTGATTAAAGGTAATCCCAAACTTTACAACAGCGGCAAGATAAAAAATAGTTGACTTCAAGTTGTAAACCACTTCAATGAAGAATCCTGTGTCCATTATTTTGATAGAGCCAACACATGCACGGATTGACGCCTCCGAGCGAATAACCCAAGCTAAAGGGAGCAAATGTCTCTTACCTGAGTGGCTGAGGATAGATCGATCGCCAGTCGGTGATCAGCACGAGCTACACAAAGCATGCTGTGTCGGTGCCATGCCACTAATCTGAGGCAAATTACATCCCACGATCGCTGTTGGTGTAGATCATAGAGTTTATCGGTTAGCATGTGTTCCTTCTGGAGCATAATGTCTTTTTGTATATTTTTATACTTTAAATGATTCCATGATAGGAATGACGATGTTAGTCGTGTATACAAATACATATGTATATTCATTTATGCATCACTGTCACTGACATATTTATACTCACATATGCAAGTAGCAGATTGAAACAGGTAATGGGTACACCATTAGTCGTAAAGGTAGTTACGTCATTAGTCGCTTATAAAACTCTTGAAGTAATTCTGCACCCGAACAATAAAATGGAAGTGATAGGAATGTTTTTACATACAATAGTCTTTGCATAAATAAATATACTCTTTAAAAAAAGTATGGGATTCTCGAAATAACTTAAAATGTCCAAAATTGGAAGATATATTTTTTTCTAGTAATAGTTGTGTGATAATAAAAAAACAAATTGGGTACACATTACAGCCGGTCTTTAAGTATTGTAGTAGATGATATCATCGTCAACGATGCCGACCTGAAAGACACAACGTCGACCCGGGATCGCCTCCGTGGTCTAGTGGTAGAGCGTCCGCCAGGAGAGCGGAATGTCTGGGGTTCGATCCCCGGCCGCGTTATTCCAAAAGACGTTAAAAGATGGTACTGCGGCATGGTATCTCAGTGAGCTAGCACTCTAAATCGTCATCAGTCCGGACTAGTACAAGCAGCCACACACACACACACACACACACACACACACACACACACACACACACACACACACACACACACACACACACACACACACACACACACACACACACACACACACCTCACCTCACCTCACAATGTCGACCCACACGCTTTGGAAACGGGAAAACAAAGTGTGTTAGTATGTGTCCCGACGGTACAGCCTCTTGACCCTTCCTTGCACAATAAGCAGTGGGATTCTGTCACTCCGATCCAACGCCAAATCTGTCAGGAGGTCTCAGGTTGACATTGGCATGACATTGGCATGACGCCTATCAAGGAAGTGCAAAGTGAATCGGCACTCATCACCTGACCAGCAACGATTACCCCAGTTTCGACGTTGTGTACACCATTGACGTCTGTTGACCATTTGACGATTTTGTAAGGGGCGGCACAACAAGTGACCGTCTGACCCGTAACTCGAACTCCAGAAACCCGATTACTGTTTGCAGCAATTTGATTCGCCGTTTGAGCTCGATTTCGTAGGACCTGGTTTCAGATTAATCGATCCTCTACTGTTGTCGTTGACCTGGGAGGTCGTTCATCAACATTTTGGGTTTGTAGGTACCAGTTCCATAATCTGCTATTCAGAGACCGTAAATCATTGACGTATTGGCTAGTACACGCTGACTTCTGCCAGTTGCCAGCATGCCATCAGTCCGTAGACGCTCCAATCATTGCAGACGCCGCATCGCTAGTTCGTACACAAACAATGAAAGAAATCAAATAAATCACAACTGTATGATAAGCAGAAATAATAGTCAATAGAGATCAGTTCAGCTGCAGTTGTCGGCCTTGGTCGGACGTCATTCAGCCGTCTTTGGATCTCGTCCAACAGGTGCTCAATGGGATTTAGCCTCGTTCTGATGCCATTATGCTGGAGGAAGTCTCTTGTTGCTCTCGCAGGGTTGGCACGGGCGTTATCATGCTGAAACTCGTGGTAGCGCCGACGTGCCAACAGAGGCAATGCGTGGGGTCTCAAGACTTGATCAATGTCCCAAGCTTCTGTGACACCATTGCCTCTCCCTGGACCGATGTTCTGGATGACAACAGGGCCGACCCTCTGTCCAAGACTAATTCCACTCCACACTATGATGCTCGGACCAACCCACGAGTCTCTCTCAACAACACAAGCATCCGAATAACGTTCCCCACGGCGTCGCCAGACTCTTTCTCTCTGCCATTCGCTGTTGAGATACAGTAACGGCTCTCGTCTGAGAAGAGGACTCTTCTCCACTGGTGTTGGGGCCAATGCTGGTGCTGTGTTGCCTACTGAAGACGGTCCCGGCGATGACGTGGTGTCAGAGTTGGTCTTCGGTGTGGCCTGTGACAGTGGAGGTGTCTGCTCGTCAGTCGTCGACGTCACGGTGTCCGCACTAAGGTGTGGCTGGTCTGTCCCCATGGTCTGTCGAGCAGATTCCGCAGCAGTAACAAAGCGATCTTGAAGATGCTGTCGCACAATCTGACGATACTGACGATCCTGACGTCGGATGGTGACCCTTGGTCTTCCACTACATGGTCGGTCATCTGTTGTGTTGGTGGTCTGGTACCGTTGCTGGAGCCTGTATTTGGTCCTTACGTGGACCTGAAATGCATGGGCTACTTGCCGGGCAGTTTGTCCAGCTTGCAATCGTCCAAGGGCTTGGTGTCGGTTTTATTGTCATCTGCTTTGTCATTTATCATCAAATATACCGGACAAGGTAATGTTAAATTTTATAAACTTGGACAAAGATTACCAAGATATTTAAATGACAACTGTTCATGCAATGTTACTTGGGGTGACGTTTCGTTTGCGGCTGTATATGTATTCTGTGAATGCACAGTGTAGATTGAATGCATCATTAAATTTTCACAGTGGTACATGCCGATCAATGCTGGGGCAATACTGATATTTTGGTAGGTGTGTCTCTATGCAGCAGAATCTCTGCACACAGTACACAGCAGACGAAATTCAAAATTGACATATCGATTTTAGTTCAACAAAATCAGTAAATGCGCAATCGCGTGACTGGGTTTCTTGTCCATCACGTGATTGTCCGCCGTCCTTGACAGGATTTTTGCTGTGCGGTGACAGAAAACAAACTGACACTTACTTTTCTATGCGGCTTGTGTGAGGGGCGGTTCCTACAGGTAGGGTAGACATGCTTGCTCTTTTCGCGAACACCTGGTGCAATTGACTTTCATTGATTCGTTCATATAAGTTTCACCGCTGTTTGGCCTTCTGGGCACATTGGATTCTTTTTCGGTGGATAATTGAAACCGTTGATTCTCGTTTTATATTTACCTGAAGTGGGTGGATGTTTCTGCTGAAGTTCCCATGTTGCATCATAAGCTCAGTAGCATTTATCAATCATGCTGAGTTAAACAAAAAAAATATGTTTGTGCCGAGACATTAAAACTGCCCCCTCAAAATGCTGTAAAACCACAATATTTCTTAAACGTTTATTTTTACTTGTAAGCAGCAGGTTCTCTGCGCTTGTTTCACTTAATTCAAAATTAACATAACATTTTAGTTTCTGTAGAGTCAGTGGGAGGGCTGTCGCGTCGCTGGGTTCTGGTTCATTGCTTGATTGTCTGGCTTGCTAAGAGGCCGCCGTCGCATGACAGGAGCACTGCTGTGCGGAGTCAGGCAACAAACATGCACTTATCTTTTCATGCAAATGACGCGAGTGCTGCCGATGTGGCAGGATATGCTTATCCTTTTTGCAAACACATGGTGTCATCACTGATTTTCAGTGATAAGTTTAATATATAATTTTCACCGCTATCTTGCCGTTTACGCCCAATGAAATCTTTTTCGAGGGATAATCGAGACGGGTACTTCTCAGGCGTTGGTGTTGACAGACAGAAAGCCATTTATCATGCAGGAAAATGATTTGCAAGATATCTACATGTAGGTCCCAAGGAAATCGATGTAATCAATTTCAGTAAGTCTCACTGGGCATGACAATTTCTGCTTCATACGGATTGGCTTATTCAAGCAAATTGTTCCATTGGGTTCATTGTTTGCAAACGGCCTATAGCAACGTGATGCCATAACAACACATTGTCGTAAATAATTGAAGATGGCGTCAACCATTGTTCAAGATTTCACAGTCGGTTTCATGTGACGGTGTTACCAAGAACAGATTCACCGTGCTGAGGCATCCACTGATTTTAAACTCAGTTTTTCTCCGTTACTCTAACTCGGAATAACAGTTTATATGTACCTCTTGACATGATGTTGAAAGTCCCTCGCCAAAGCCGAGACTAACAAAGTAACTACACTCGGATTCCAAAGTTATTCTCGAAATCTCCCCTATATACATTTCGAACAACGACTATATTAAATATATTGTAGTGCCAAGAACAGTGTTGCAATCATGAATTATAACCGATTATACTCGATCCACAACATACCCTCTTGTTTGTGTGTGTTTCCTGTTCATACAAGTAGCTATGTTGCGAAATGTGTCATTACATTGTGGCAAAGTTTTAACTTAAAATGAGGTGTCTTGCCCATTACTTTCGAATGGAATATTTATATCAACAGCTTTGAAACCCTCTTGTCAATAAACATTTCTATATAAATCGAATTTAATGGATCCGTGTTTGGATGAAAAACACGTTAAATCTCACAATACATGTACATTTCATCTAAGGACATTTCATCTGAGGTTGTTTGTATTCACACGTAGTGTTTAGACATGTCAAGTCAGGGAACGTAGATACAGCATGAACACTCATTAAAACATTTGCTAAATTAGACATACATGAAGATTTAATTGCGAAACGTGATTTCAGTATATTTTGTAACAATAATTTTAGATACAGCTGAAGGATGCATCACTGACATTTATCCAAATATATTAATACTAGATTTCAAACATCTTTCCTTTTGGTGTCACAGTTTAATGACTTACACACTGTTCAAAGCGGCATTAGTCCCAACTCACTCACTCTTATTTGCTTAATATGTGTGACATTGAACTAGAAAGGGTAAATTTCAGTTTAATCACTATGGCCGGGACATGTTTACAATTTGTGTATTATCCTCATTTTGTATGAAATGATGTTAACAGTATAACGTAATTGCTAGCCGCCATGTACACAATCCGTACTGTTGCTATCTTAGCAGCTTACCGACACGATTCAAACAATGCCCGGGTATCGATTGAAAGAGACGCAATGCTGGATGAAATGGATCTTTGTTGTCATGGATTGTTTCAGCATCTTTATGCTGTTGTGAAAGCATCAACAAATCTGTCTTTTGAACATTTCTTTTGTAACAATGACTTATCAGCTTGATAATGCAACCACCATATTTAATACTGTTAGGGACAATGATAGCGAAATCCCCTCGACATATTTCATGTCTGAACATTTTTGGATCTTTAAAACACTGAGTCAACAGGGATATGCACCTTGAAACAGTTTTAAATGTAATTATTATTCTGTGTATGACGAAATCAATTGTTAACGAATTATTTATAAACACAACATACATTGTAATCTGGTTTCCTAATAGCAGTTTTTTTTCCTAACAAGCCAAAACATAAGGTAGCTGATCATGTTCATGACGAGATAAGGAAGCTGTTACGAAAGATCGCATATACAGTTTGGTTCGTCATTATTGTTACAGAAACGATCTAGATTGATTTTCCATGAATATTCTACGAAAATAACAGGAGACCAGATACTTCTTTTATAAATAATTCTTTTACATTTGATTTTGTTGTTCACAGAATAATAATTACATTTAAAGCTGTTTCTTAGTATACCCACGTTGTTCCTAGGACTAAATGTTTAACGTTCCAATAGTGTTTAGACATAAAAAATGTCGAGGGGTTTCGCTATCTTTGTCATATACATCCCTTCCTAACAGTAGTCAAAAGGTGGTTGCATTATCAACCCGAGAACCAATTCAAAAGGCAGATCAGATGATGCGTTCACTGCAGCCTGAAGATGCTTTGGCAATCCATGACAACAAAGATCCATTTCAACCATCATTGTATCTCTTCCAATCGATACCCGACCGTTGTTTGAACGTTGTTTGGTAATATAGCAACAGTAAATGACGTCCATGTGGACAATCTCTATCTGCTTATTGTATTACTTTCCACATGGATCTTCGATGGACGGCCATATGGTCACAACAGTCGGCATACACCTTTGCTGCTATTAGTAGACGCTGTATACATATGTTAGTGCAAACTTGGATTGACAAACAAAATCCTTTGAATTAATGAGTAGCTACATCAATACATGTCTCCGTGATAAATATCCTTGGGGAATTAACCTGTCCGATCCATATGGCGATAAACGGATGGGTACAAACTAATGAGTGGAGTTTGATATTTTAAAATTTTCTTTACAGTTTAATTTTATACAGTAATTTTTTTCAAAAAGAAAATGGGGATCTACCCTTTGCCAAAACGACAACCCTAACTCGTCAAGAAACAGAGATGACTTTTAAGTATGTATACTTCTAAAAATAACAAATATGACAAAACCAAAACATGACCCAATTTGGAGTATATATTTGCCTTTGGATTCTAAATCAGTTTGCGAATTTACTGGAGCTGTCATCCTCGCACGCTCACGTATGCTATTATCATAAAATTGTATTGTATAACATCAAAAGAAACGAGTCATCTGTGAGCGTACAAAGTTAAGCTGACCAGAATCCTAAAATCGTGGGATCGATGACAATATTCGCTCAGATTATGATTCTCGGTTTGACCTCCATTAATGCGGGTTGCCTTCAATGTAAAAATCTGCAGCTGAATACCGTTGAAAGAGTGAAAGGAGCCCAATAGGAATTTGCTCAGTTAATATGGATTATATTTATGGAAGATACGCCTTTGAATACACGTATATGTCAGATGGATTCTTTGCTTTAACAAGAAACTTAAAATGCTATTTACAAACACAATATTCATTGTCAGAATGTACATTATTGTGTAACAACACACTTACGGAATGTTGTGATTGGGTGCTTCTATTCAGTACCACCATTGCCCCATGTCATTGTCCTTTTGAAAAAGCAGACCGTATTGTCGTGTAGCAGGATCTTGGTAATTATCAACTTCGATTTTGTCACTTAAGCACTGAAGCAGGTTATAATAATGTAATATTCTCCTTGTAATACTGTGTCATGACGCAAGGAATAACTCATTGCAGATCGTTACGAATAAAATAATATTGGCATTTGTACTAACTGCGATTAATAAGAAATAACCAATGTTACCTTTGAATGGTTTGGTCAGTAATATTACGGCGTGTCTGCTTGGTGTGGGAGGATAACCCGAAGTGGTGCAGACGTATACCACTTTGGTGAAACCAATAAGCATGCATGGATACGATGCTGGCAAGCGTAGAAACATAAGCAGGGCGAATGTGGGATTGGAACCCATGATTATAAGTTTCATGCACGACAAAGGGACGCAACTCAGTGAATCAGTGAAGCGTGGCACCGGTGATGACAAGGCCATCCGTGAGTGAGTATGGTTTTACCCCGCTTTTAGACATTTTTTTAACAATATCACGGCGGGGTGAACACCAGAAATGGGCTTCACATATTGTACCCATGTTGGAAATCGAACCCGAGCCTTTAACACTTTAACCACTATGCTACCCTACCACCCAACAAGGCCATCCATGTCCCCTGGACAGCAAGTATTCTGAATAACAAAGTATTCGGATGCCAGTTCCACGTTAACCGTATCTGCAACATGGAACCAAGTCATCCTTTAGGCCCACACCGTTCACATGTACTGAGTGGAGGTTCTCATTTATTCATGATTGGTGGAACTAGTATTGTTCTATATGTAAAGATATCATACTCCGAGGACTTATTAATCAATAACCAATGAAACAGTGGCATTTATGTCAATGATGTCACTTAACTTGACAACGACCTTCCTCACTTGCATAACCAGCCAGTTTACATGTCATTAAAATGTTGCCATACAAAGATAACTGCGTGTACAAGTCCGCACTTATGCCGGTTCTTTAGTGCTAGTCCACTGAAGCAGTTTAACATAACTACCCAACTCAGCCACAGTAGACTGACTCAGTCGTTATGGTATGACCTGAATGCCAAGCGCTAGGAAGCATAACAACAAGTACCACATGTTTATGTCTTTTTTTATGATTCGGTCAGGGGTTCGAACCACCGACCTTCCGCTCTCGTTATATTATTTCAAAGACTGATGGTCAGCGGTACATTGCTGATGTATTGCTTTGAAAATGTCTTATACGATGTATCATACAATGTACATGGATGCTTATTGACATGTTGTCAAATAATTCACGCATCATCTGACGGAAAGTTTTATTTCGTCGATAACAATTACATAAAGGTATGCTATGCATATCATGCAAATAGTTTACATTGAAACTGAGACTGTGAAGCGATTCTTAGAATCAAAGAATTAATTCGCCGACATTGTAAACATCTTTCACAAAACAAATGACAAAAATAGCTCATTGATGTATTAACCTGTGAACATAAAACTTAATAACACTTTAAAACACAAAATTCCGAAATATGAAATATGTACAATAAATAATCATGAATCTAGAGGTTTAATATTACGGAGCTTAGAGTGGTATGATAAAGCTGTTGTAACCGATCATTGCACCAAAGGGTTTGCCAGTAAAGGTAAATATCTATTATAATCTCCAGAATGAAAACCACGTAGTCTTAATAATGTACGTCCAGCTATAAATGATTTATGAATGCCATGGGATGAGAAGCGGCGGTGATCCACGGAGCAAAAAGGGAAGCATTATCACGGCCTCAGTTAATAAATATTCCATGTATAGTCAGCAGCAAATAATTCAGTTACCGTACAAACCACAATAACCCCGTGACATTATACTTAATAATTGACTTTCATGATCACTTTGTGTGAGTTCATTGGAATATGAACCTTCATAGAGTGAGGAATAAACTGTATGAACGTCGGAGCTTGCTATCACAATGTCTTACCTCAAAGGATGTAGGCCAAGATCTATACACAATTTTATTTAGTACGTGTGACTTTATGTTTACACTGACAGCCATACAACAACCAGCTATATCGCGGGATAAAATAGTTCCTCATAATAGTGGTGAAATGAGCGTATGGAGGCACAACTTGCTCTTCAGAAACGTCTTACGCAACACATGTATTCAAATGATATCACCATCAGATGAGAAAGGTCTGTTAAGAACTACTTCAGTATATCAATCACAATGACTGAGCGCGTCTTAATACATTTACATTAAGTACAAGACGTCAAAATGGCCGACACGATAAACGTGACGGGAGAGATTTCGGAAGTTGCTAATGAACCCATGGCGGTTACATGTTTTAGTCAACATTGATCAATTGACCGATCATTTAAAAGTGATTAATGATGAGTCAAACAGACGCTAAGGTAAAGTCATAGATAGCTGTAGACAGTCACTGCCAGCCTAGAGACGGATCGAGGCGATACTAACATAGTTTGGATTGTGTATTTCTTCGTTTTGTTCACTAGGATGGGTCGTTGCGAGGATATTCGTGAACGATCGTGCAGTCAAACCTTGACGTTTCTCAATGTATAGTAAAAATGATCAGAATGAACTCTTCTGTACGTATTCGTGCTATTCGTCGTCATTTCAAGAGCACGCTCTCGTGAAAAACGTTTGAACGTCAAATTGTGTCGTTCATACACTTATGAACATCAATTTCGCGGTCCTGTGACCAACCTCTCGTCCAATGGAAAAGCCGTATCTCGTGTAAACGTCAAATTGAAAAATTATAATCAGAAATACTGCACACAATCAGAACAAACACTGTTGAAGTTAAGGCATGAGGTGCAGTAAGTGTTCCTCGACAGTTGCAGAAGAGAGGGTTGTCGTTTACTTGATTTGCGGTTTGCGAAAACGTGTAGATGTCCTTCGACGTGTATCCCTTCGGGCTTTGCTCCGACAGAAGCCACACACACACACACGTGATATAACTGAAATCCTATTCAAAGAAGCATTAAACCAAACGCACTGACTCACTTGGCATTATTGTTGCATCTAAGGCGTGTTACGAAAGGCAGCACAAAGTTATAACTAACGGGCACCAACCGACAATATTGCCCCATATGGTGATATGCACACTTGGTTAAAAGTAAAAACACCCAAAAAAACCTTGTCAATCACCTTTTATATCGTCAACTGGGTCCGTTTCATCACATTTCTTCTCCTCCTCATCTTTGATAAAACCAAAGTTGGTAAATTGCATACCAGCTGCAGTGTCACTTTGTGTGATTTCACTGATAACATCTTCTTCTTCTTCTTCTTTCCCTCCCTTCTTTACGTGTTTCCTTAAGATATCCAACGCTTTCTTCTCCGTATGAATGTCATCATCTTTCGTCTCGTCCTCATCCTTATCACGAGTGCCTCTCTTTCGTCGTATTGCTACAATGGTCTTTTTCTTAATGAAACAGAAGCATAATTTCTCATCAGCAACGACTTGTTCGTCATTGCTCTCGTCCTTATTCTTGTTCGAAGACCGCTTGGTCTTGAAGTGCTTTGCAAGAATTGGCATTACCCCATCAGGGGGCATGATGTTGTGCTCAAAGAAGTCGGCACCAACAATCTCTTCCTCTGTTGAGACTCTGAGACCGATAGTCAGATCGATGGCCTTGAGGATGATGACGGACATCACTGCTGACCACAAGATGATCGTTACGACAGACAGAGTCTGCACTCCGAGAAGGTACCATCCTCCACCCTGGAACAATGATAGCATTGGGCATTGACCAATCATCAACTCGTCATGGCAGAGATGAATGGTATATATAAACTGTAAGTGTGTATTAATAATAAAGTTAACTCTGATATCAAACATTAAATGCGTTCATGTTAGAATAAATATAATAACATCATGTCATCACATAGTACATATCGTTATTTATTACTAGTCCGTTGAAAATACCACTGTTTAATAACAATAAGTTGCAACAAGCTGATATTACACGGGTGACAGTGTTTAATACCAAAGCGACGGCCAAACTGTTTTCGAGATATTTTAATAACGCTATAAAAAATTGTTGACTTAAGTTAGAATTAGTTGAATTATGTGTGATAATACTTGTTGACACACCTTTATGTTTTTGCAAAACAAAAACATGAGTTTTGAGCAAAGGAAAATATTCTCGGGCGACATAATTAACTTAAAATTTTGAGTTTTCGAAACACGTTTTCTCAGTTTTTTTTCCTTAGTATATACCCATGAAAACAGCATTTTGAATTTTGTAAATATCCTTGTCCGACACGCGTAGACTTTCTGGACAAATGGGTTTCCAGAATTTGGAAATGTGACGTGTTATTATTCTGTTAAACTCGATTTGATTATGCTGTTTGCCTATTTACACGCGACAGTGAAAAAAAAACCTTTTCAATGGAAAGTGTTAAATAAAAATACAGTAAACTACGGTTATAACGAACACGCTTACAACGAACTGACGGATATAACGAACTTTTTAGTCTAGACTATTTGCTGTAGTTATGCTGTATATATGCTTATATGAACTAAAATTAGTAGTCCCTATGAGTTCGTTATAACCGTAGTTTACTGTACACAATTCGCTCCCCTGTCATTACCAATTTTATGAAACTCGTGAATAGTTCTGGTATCTGGTCAGACACCAGAAATTTGCATTCATTTCATAAAATTGGTACTAAACGAGAGCTTAAGTATTCTTTATATGATGGAGATCAAATATAAAGTTGCGCTCTGCACATATTGACAGGGTAGTCAGCATCTCATAGGCATTCCTTTAAACATGTATGTTACACAGTTAAACAGGATACGTAGCAGAATTTGGCTATCTACTCGTTGAATTTATATTTGCCTACGCTTGACACGCGTGTGGCGTGTAACAAGCCTACAGTAATACGCCTGCAGTAATAAGCAGCAGTGGTATCATGCATCATTCATCATTTTGTTAGTGGCGGCAGGACAAACCAGTGGTTAAAAGCTTTTGTTCATCACGTCGAAGGTCCGGGTTCGATACTCCACATGATTACAACAAGAGAAGCCCACTTTCGGTGACCCCAAGCCGTTATGTGGCGGGCATAATATTAAAGGCATGTTTATTTTAAATTATGACGATGCAGATTTGTAAGTGTCGACGGTTAAGACGTACGTTTTACCACTTACCCAAAGTAGGCCATGGTTGAAATTGAACTCCCCTTGAATCTGATCTTTCTGGGCAAAGATACCACAACAAAGAAGACCCCAAATAGAACAAAAGAGGTGGACAGAGCTGGCTCCGACTGGATCATCAATCTTCAGCTTGAACAACAGGAAGTCACTCAAGGCGGCGATAATAGCGCCAACAGACCCTATTATTACGGCTGCCCATGTCGTTGTCACTGCGCAGATTGCTGAATTAGGACAACATTATATATCTTCGTGAGGTAGCGAAGTAATGTACATATGTTAATTGGGAAATGGTTTGTTTTTCGTAAACTTTAGAATCAATATATACATGATTAATTCTTATCACTTATACTTAAATGCAAAACCACTTTCCTTGATCGGCGCGGATAATTGAAAAGTTATCCATCGTTTTCAGATTACAAAGAAAGCTGAAGGATAAAAACAAGTTCTTATTATCTTGTGCAAAGGATGGAGTAAAGTGGTTTGCCCCACAGGAAAGCAATGCTTTTATGCGATAAGTGGATACCCGAAAAAATATTGTCTCTAATGAGAGTTTCCCGAAAATAAAACGCTTGGTGACTAAACTTAATGTGAATTTATAGTCGTTTTGTATAAAAACTATATTTTGTGTATGTATGTCTTATGTCGTCGGCGAAGTTGTGAAATTCTAGCGCACATGCACTGCACATATTCCTGCATAATGCATCCACGTGATGGGAACATGGACGGCCAAACGTACATATATACAGTAACATGGTGATATAAAATTTAATATGGAGGTTTTATTAATTAATACATACCGCTGACGGATACGAGAGAGCCAAGAATTCCATTTACAATTAGGGGAATGATGTATTTTCTCTTGTGGAACACATAGCTGAAATATACAGTAGCAACAACAGAATAACTGACAGGACAAATATTTCATACGTTAAAATAAAGTAATATAAATGTGAATTTTGTAATATAAAAATGTTGCTACAAAATATTTATGTTGAATTGAAAGTGAAAAATGTGTATTTTACCTGATTATAAAGGCTGTTATTCCACCGCCACACGAGGAGAGAATTGTTGTTGCTGCCGCTCTTTAAATATAAAACATACAATGTATTGCAATCACATAGAAAATTACAAGTAGCTCTTAGAGTGAGGGAATGTTATTTTCCGTTGCAATCCACTATATTACAGCTGTAGTGTATAACGGCGGCCTCTAACTATCTCTGTACTAGCAAAATCCTTTCATGTAGTTGATAGCATCAGCAACGATCTCTACGTCGAGTTCTTGAACACACACTCTCAACACCTGACAATAATTAAGAAATGGATAGTGTTCCCTATTCAGCCTAGGAATTCTCATTTTTGTTAATAATCCACAGTAGTTTGATATATTCATGTACGTTTCGCTAGCAGTAGTTTGCAGATCCAGATAGTTTTTGTTAATGTCGAAGAACCTGGTATTTTCCTAGAAACAAATGACGGAAAAAACTGGTAAAACTAATTTAGCTCCATTTGGAAACATAGATAAAGAGTAAAATCTTTAAAAAATAATGAAATTGTCCGAGATATTTAACTAATTTTATGCCAATTATTATCTGAAAACGACTTTTTTCATTTCCTATAAATAATTGCTGGACAAATCACAGTCATAATGTTAATTATGAATTGATAAGTTTTTGACAACAAGTCCATCGGCACCATTATTCACTATTTCTTCATCAAAGGTGGTGATATGTAATTCTATTATTGTTAGACCTTTCAATCAAAACTTAACACTACATAATAATGATATGTGTCCCAGTTGGTATGCCCATTGGGCAAGTTCTATAAAATAAAACATACTTGAAAATAAATTTAAATAGTTTTGTTGAATGCATAATATTCAAGTTTAGCGAGTGTCAATTATATGTGCCAGGTCAGGCTCGGGCTCCCGGTTGATGCATGTCAATCGCATATATCGATGCTCATGATGTCAATAACTGCTTGTCTGGTCCAGACTCGATCATTTACAGACAATCGTCATATAACTAGAATATTGCTGAGTTCGCCGTTAAACGACAAACAAATCAGGATGTCAGATTGATGTGTTGCATTACTATTATACTTACAATAACCTTAACTCTCCAAGAATATAATCAGAAATGTTATTATAAAATATATTACTATTTTGCAACGTATTTTGTAAAGATACAGATGTGGCGGTGTTATTGTCATTCAAAGTTGTCGTACCTTGTAGCAAGTTTCCATTTGCCTCCGCTTATTCCAAATGTGCTTCCACAGTTGAAACCTAGCCAGCCCCACCTGAAAATTGAAGGGCGGTTAAAAATATTTTGAACAATAATAAGAAATTATGATTATCATAATGTTATCGATTTGATAAAATACATTTAATTAACATTTTCTTTCAACAGTTTATACGTATGACATAAATAATAATTGGTAATGATATTTTCTTTGAAATCTACTATCGAACAGGGACACATATATAGAACAAATACCCACCAAAGCATGAAAAGTCCCAAGAGAGTATTTACAGGGTTGGAAGATGGTATGTGCTGGTAGATTCTACTTTCCTTCACAAATCGACCTCTTCTGGGTTTCAACATAACCGCTGCAATGAGGGCGGTAACTCCCCCAACAAGGTGGACCGGTCCTACTCCAGCAACATCGACCACGTAGAGCTTCTTCAACCAGCCCTCATCAGCCCACACCCAGTGTGCAGGAAAAGAGTACACGAACGTGTTGAAGAGAGAGAACACGATGTACGCCATAAGTTTGGTCCGTTCAGCCATCGCACCTGATAATATGGCGCAAATGATAATATTATATGGCATGTCTAATTATAATGAAGGATGCCTGTAATCAAATTATTACATGTAATTCTTGTTTCAAGTTAAAGATTAAGTCTGTTGCTATCAAAATCTAACATGTAGAATTGAGCATTTTAAGCATTGGCAATTACATTGTTTGACGCTCAATCATGCAGAACCCACAGATTATAAATATTGTATTTCATGGCAGTTACAATGATATAAACTTGTAGATATCTCTAATAACCTGATACGACCAATTGGGAACCCGGGGTAGAATGTGTACCCCGCACCCCACTGCTGGTCGTAAGAGGCGACCAAATTGGACGCCAATCCGGGTTAGAATTAGTTTTCAGCAACCCATGCTTGTCGTAAGAGGCGACTCACGAGACCGTGTGGTCAGCGTCAGTGACGTGGAGGATGCAGGTCCAGATTAGAGCCAGACCGACCGCCATGATGTAGATGGAATATTGCTGAGTGCAGCGTTTAACAACAAACCTGATACGATGGTTGTTGCTGTTGTCGCAAAGGAGGCTTGAAACACAAATTTGGAGTATATGGTACCAATATGTTCTCCGTCTGTAAAAAAAAAGAATGAAGAACAATGAACAGATGTGGAAGCCAATGGGACATGAAGCCAATTAAACAGGAAAAGTAATTATTGCTTGATGAGTTCATAGTAGGCGAATGGCTTCATGTCCCATTGGCTTCCACCCATGTGTTCTCTGTCCATCGTGTTGTGACGGTATTATCCCCTTGTTGTCAACACTTACCTATATTATCCCACTCATATATGCAATTGTTATTACTGTTAATCATCTACTGTTAATCCTGCACCTACTATATATATTCTGTACTATGTCCCCATTCAGTATTGCTTGACAACGGCATAAGGATCTATATCGAAACGTCGATTAAAGAAGTATTAAAGAAGTTGTTATCCATAAAATTGTGTCTACCTTGTCATCCGTCAACTTCTGAGTAATGCCTGTCAAACAATTTATGACAAATACAGGACAAAATCAGTATTATAAAACCATTCTGTCATCTCGGTGAACACATCGAGGAAGGTGTGTAGCAATAAGGAAAGTAAGTACTTACTGTAACTAAATTTTGGCTTTTACAAGATGCTGTACGTCTCAACAGCGAGCTTTTAAGCTAACAATAAAGACTTAAACGTTAAAATGATGACGGATTGAGTAGATTGTACGTTTTATGTGTCAACTATGTTATATTGTTGGGATTAGCTCACCTGGATTGAGAAAGAAGTAACCAACACCAGTGAAACCGTTTGCCCCTGCATCATCACCAAACGTCAAGCCGTACCCGATGGACCAGTAGGTGATCCCACCAAACACAACGTCCACAACATTCTTCAACATGATGTTAACTTCGTTCTTCCTGCTCGCCATTCCGCTCTCCAACAACCCAAAACCTACAATACAACTCAGTTGATATTATAATATATTTCAATTAGAAAAACCAGTTCAATCCAGTCCAACGCACAGCAATGACTGATTAAGGTTTACGCAGATTTTATGAATGTTACCTGTATATCATGGCGGGGGACATGACTAATGGGCGTTAAATTGTAACCAGTGTCAGGAAGCGAACCTGGGCCTTTGGAGTAAGGTACTGCCCTGATCCACTCGTCTGCCACAGACTACATTACAATCAAAAGCGACAGAGCCTTTTCCACTATCGTAACAAATCTCTGCTAAAAGCAGCCCATTGCACGATTCCGACAGTATCACGTGTTTATGAAGCACTATCAAATTACAGGTGTTCGTGAAACGGTCAGCGTATATATCCAGCCCCACAGATTGCACACGTCACAAAGAGGCATATTCATGATTCCTCTACAGTTCGTTTGTAAGCATGTACATATATATATATATATATATATATATATATATATATATATATATATGCTAAAACATTTTTAACATTAGCGAAAGGTTGTCACTGAATTGTTCATATATCAAAACGAGGTGTCAAATGTATGCTTGGTTAAAAGTACAAGCTCCCTAAAATGAACCCATTCAAAGTTATATAGCAACGGCAAAATTCACTTTTTCTCAATAAACTTTCGCAAATGCCACAACCTAACTAGGAGTTCTGAAATAATTGCAATTTGATGTTTTCTCCAGTATCATGTGTCACAAATCCAAATCCAAGTGACAAATGCATATTGCACAGCTGCCCTGAAGGTTCTCTATCACGAACTATTTTAGCGACTTGACCGGTGTCTGGTAATTTCTGTGTAAATATGTTCAAACATGGCATGTGTATGTAAAATAACTGAAACGTATCAAATATATACAGGTGTGAACATGAACACGACACAGACAATCATAAAGTTTGTTTCCTTTACAGCTAATCCCGCTGTAAAATATAAAAAGTCACCGCGAGAGAACAACCATTCTCGACAATCCGCCAAATCAGATTCGACTTGGCACAAAGAGGCAACATAGCTGTGAAGATATTTTGAATGAATCACTGTAAAATAGTGATAACACCAGGTCCCACTTGCACAAAGCGATCTTAGCGCTGCGACTATTGTAAGCCTATGTTAAAGCATGGGAGTTATGATCATCTTAGCGCTATGATCGCTTTGTGCAAGTGGGCCCAGGTGTTCTCGAAATGGGTAAGCATGTGTACCTTACTGCAGGCATTTGATATATTTTACATCTCTTTCTTTCTCCATATATTGTTTATATCGGTTAAATTTTACATTACCTCTATTAGAAAACTGCTTGACTGCTTAATAAACAGACTCCTGTACAGGAGTTTAATCCCATACAAAATTGTTTTCCTACTATATCTATAATCACTCCCTATGCCACAACATTTAAATCTAGAGACCTTATCCTGATAGCTACATTATTTAGATGGATGGATACAATGTAGTCAGGTGCTTTCTTCACGATTTAAGCTGGGAATACCTTGCGGTTACATGCATTGTTTGACGATTTACCAGACCATTAATAAATCAGTATTGTGGTTCAGGCGACCATGGTGTGTTATTGTAGCCTAGTGTTTATAAGAAAGGCACAATCTATTTACGAACGTGGTATACGCACTGACTGACTGATACATCGATAACACGTATCTTATTTTTAATAAGTTTTAAAACCTTCACAGCGATAACGATGTTTTCATGATAAGTGATTAAAGCCAAATAGATGCAGTTCATTGTTGTGTATACATAAAAAAAAACACATGCCATTGTTAAGCATTGTTTCCAGGTGTGGCGTAAAATCGCTGAAATCACGCTAGTTTATCATGGCATAGGCGTAAAAAAAACTACGCAGCCGTGTTGTAATGGCGACATATGTGGGATATCGCTGCCGAACTGAGATTCAAGAAAGAGATACATCACATTGAATCGTTAACGAGACAATTGTAGTAGGACCGGAGACGCTAGGGCAACTACTAAATGTTGTCTCAGTACCTCGCATCCTTAACATGGCAATTGTACGTACATGTAGGTGATTCGGAGAATTCTAGGACTAACGACAAAACGTTCAGAGACTTGACACCATACATCTTTGACGTGACAATTGTAGGTGGTTTGGAGAATTCTAGGACACAACGGCGAAACGTTAAGAGATTTAGCTTCTTGTATCTTTAACATGGCTACTGTAGGTAGTTTGGGGACCGGTAGGACCACGGCAAAATTTTTTTTCTAGCCGTGAAACCTATGAAAAAAGTAAGCAATGGATAAGTGCGTTGCATGTGCTGGGGATGTTTGGCCTCCATATATAGCCTCCTCTGTCCTACTGAAATCTTGTGGTGTACGTTGCAAATATCTCTATTTGAACTTTCTGTTAAATTAATTAACTTCAGCTGAATTGGCCAATGAATATAATCCTGAGTATGGGATTGTTATCCTTTAGAGCACGATAAGATTGAATTTACAGTTAAATATTATCCGAAACAACTCTTTTAATATGACAACATTACTCAAATTGGTGATATATACGAAGTCTGAAACATTTTCTATCTTATGATTGACTGAATGTTTCTCTGTCGAGTAAATTACGTAAAAATACCATCATGAACGACGGCGATCGACCGGTTACTCGAGATGCTTGATGAAGCTCTGGCTCTGAGTTTGTGGTCATCCAATGTCCAGTATCCTCTACGGTCATTCGTTCGCATGTGTGCACCTTTGACTAACGGCAGAACTCATTAATCGCTTGGGGTCCATTTCATGAGAAGCATCCAATCATACTTATAACAGCTGCCCCCATGGGGATCCTTGGCTAGAATAGGTCCCCAGCAAACTATGCTTGTCGTTTGGTGCAGCTAGATCAGGTTAGGTGCTCTGATTGACCGCGTGCCATCCTCCTCCGATAACAGTAATTGCTTTGTCTGATCTGGACTTGATTATTTACAGGTCAACGTCATATAGCCGGAACAATGCTCAATGCGACGTTATACAAAGAAAGCTTACAAACACCATAAACATAAATAGAAAACTACACTTAACACCCCAACACTTTACACTGGCCAGGATACACACAGACCTTCATTTCGTGCATTATGCCCTTGTCCCCGACGTAATATGTGAGAAGCTAGCATGGAGACATGGGTGCACATCCACAAATGTTTTGTTATCAGACAGGAACAAATTTATTGTAATTTAGCTGACATAATAATTGAGCTGTCTGTCACTGAATTCACGAGAACAAACCACATAGTGTAAAACGGTAAGTGTAAATCGTTTAACTCTTCATGCCAACACTATAAATAATCGTTGCCTTACTCCATGTGCCGATCAGCCGCTTGCTCCAACTGTTTCCCCATTGAATTTGTATTGAAACAAAATTCATGAGTATGCTGTACAGCGTGTGCCAGCAGCTCTTAAGATATGCTGTACTGTAGTGGTAAAAAACCCTTCCATGTTGGGTAATACATTGGTGCTCACAAATCGCTTTTAGTTTTAAAATGTAAACATACGCGATAGTATCTATTTACACAATTCCCTTAGCATATTTACAAACACTATATGTATGTTATGTTGACGTCATTCTGCAAAATTGATCAGTTGATCAAACATATTTATTATGGATGATGCAAATACAGCTGATCAATAACTGTTTTAATCTCTCTCTCTTTCTCTCTCTCTCTCTCTCTTTCTCTCTCTCTCTCTCTCTCTCTCTCTCTCTCTATATATATATATATATATATATAAAGCACAGTAAAGTTCTAACTGTCAGGGGCAATATAGTAATAATTTAATAAGTGGAGTAAGATTGAACACAGTTTTAATTGGCTAGCGTTTCAACTCGTACCACGTACAAGTCCCATCAGGCCATAACAATCAATGAAATAACATTTCTACTATCACAATAGTGAAGAAAACAATATGGGGAATACTTTATCTCTAGTATCTACCTTCAACCCTAATCATGAAAAAACATTATCCATGGTTCAACGATACCTGCCTTTTTTTAATCAAAATATTAAAATGGAGAAGATATTGAGCAAATACAAAATTATCAACAGCCAAAGACAACCCAAAAATCTTAATTTCTTTTGGACAAATTCTAAATTTGATTCTGTTATCATCACTCCACAGGTTTCTAAGTGCGGTGACAGACGTTGCCTATCTTGCAGCAATATAATTGAAGGCTGTTCGGTCCAAATTACAAGGACACTAAATTACTGTTAAACAAAATATGACTTGTGATAGTAGAAATGTTATTTACTTGATTGTTTGTAGTGGATGCATTGAAAAGTATATCGGAAAGACAGAACTTAAATTAAAAAGAAGAATGAATCTTCACCGTTCACAAATAAAGCAGCCACACAACCGCACGATTCCATTCAGTGAACATTTAGATGCATGTGGAAGCGGCAACTTTTTAGTTTTCCCGCTATATAAGGTACATTTGGATCATGAACCTACATTGTTTCGCTGGAGTGTGTAAATACATTGTGACGTCAACGTTGTAATTTATGACGTCATCATAAGTATGCCGTCATATTATATGTCATTGTCAGTTACACTGAAGAGCTGACAGCGAAAGTACTATGTCTGAAACTGATATAAAGAAGATGATGGACTAACGTGGACCATTATTTTATTTTACATATATATATATATATATATATATATATATATATATATATATATATATATATATATATATATATATATATATATATATATTCATGCAAATATATTTCATCTTCATCACTCCAGACACAGAATGCTAAAATAAAAATGCGTTTCAACAAATTATATGTTCAGCTATACTATGTCATTGTCAGTTACACTGAAGAGCTGGAGTGGAGTAAGATTGAAGTGGAGTAAGTGGAGTAAGATTGAACACAGTTTTAATAGGCTAGCGCTTTCAACTCGTACCACGTACGAGTCTCATCAGGCCATAACTGAATAGTTCATCTTCATCACTCCAGACACAGAATGCTAAAATAAAAATGTGTTTCAACAAATTATATGTTCAGCTATACTACCCAAATTAAGGTTAATCAAGTGAATCATTTTAAAACCCTGCATTAATTAGTTCGACATCGGTATTGAGTTCGTAAATGTTCGAAAACAAAAAGGTTTCCAACCACACCACCGACGTTGTTTTGTTTTAAAATGCATTCAGAATGGCTACCGCTTCTGAAATAATCCCTGTGGCGATTTGTTTTATTTCAGGATATATGACAATTTCTTTCAGAGCTATTTCAAATGTTCGACACGTATATATACCTATGTATGAACATACTATTATAATTATATATTGAAGACTATAGCAACGCAACGAGACGATAATGGGCTCAGATTACAACAATAATTTACGTGTAACAGAAATGTGACTTTTTTCTCAGGTACAGGCTACACTGACACAGAAAGACAATTTATTTATCCCCTTTGATATCTTATTTCCCGAAACATTGTAAAAGCATTGTCAATTATTCAAATTTTACTTGCAGTTAAAAGTATCAGCTTATTTTAAGAAAGGAAGTCCAAAAGGCGACTGGTCAGGCTCGCTGACTTGGTTGATGATGCATGTCTTCGATCCTGATTGCATGGATCGATGCTCATGATATTAATCACTTGATTGTCTGTTCCAGATTCGATTATTTACAGACCGCCGTCAAAAAGCTCGAATATTGCTGAGTGCGGCATTAAACAACCAATCAATCAACAAACCAAAAGGGGCGCATCTCGTAAACGTTGACCATATAGGTGAAACCTGCGAGCATGGGTATGGTAATGGTGGTTGATCAGTTCAAATCTGGCATCCTCACTAATGGTCGGCTGATTCTGACACAACTAGGGGGAGAAAGTCTGTTCAGCAAATTGTAGTGTTTTTAACCTGCCGTGTCTCGGGGTAATTAAGAATGGATTCTTCCTTGTTATGACAATAACGAAATATCGAATATGAAGTTCATAAAGAATCTAGTTGGCATATTGCAATCACGAGTGTTTAAATGACCTGATCTAATATGCCAACCAAGTACCATACCTATATTTTGTTTCACTCGGCTGTCCTTTCAAAATGAATGCCTTAAATCCAATGCAGTCGAATTTGGGATCAGAGAAATAGTTCGATTTATCCGGGGCTCGACACGTACGACCTTATTCGCGTGTGACTTAGCCATCAGGCAACAGAAAGAGACAAACCACACCGTTCATGTTATGTAAAAATCATTCATATAATAGTATCACGAAATATCTAAAGAAGATTATGCCATTTCTACATTATGCATGTATATGCATTCTACTCACATTACTGAATTATCATGACATCATATTATAAGGCAACAATGCATAAATACATTCATTCATCAACGTAAACGATAACAGTGAACCAATCGATTTTGCATCGCCACGTCGATACATGGAGCATACATTTCTGCGATATTGGCATAAATATTAGCAATCAATACATCATATTTATAAGTCACCTTAGATTAATCGGAAATCCACGAAATAAGAATTGTGTAGGGTATTTTTACAGCGGTGAATCAGACGATGTGACAGTGTGAATTCATATGCCTGCCATACGTATTTCCGTGACAAGACCATATACGTATCGTTTAGTATTTGACAGCGGTTGTTCTTGAGAAACTTGGAACACGGATTGTTTTGTTATTTTCCAAATGCTGTATAAATTAGCGAAGTACAAAGAAATCTTGTTTTGGTAATATCAGCTACTACTGATTTAATGATGACGACCAGATTCATGTTTTACAGATATGGCGCTTATTTTGAGCATGATTCGTTATGTCAAGCAACGCCTTCTCGTTCAGCACCAAATTACGTTCATTTGACTGCTAACAAAAGTAGCATATATCTAACTTTTAGTCATCTCTCTGTATGCTAATTCAGTGAAACTGATCAGTTGTGATTAAAAGTTTGTATGTAGCTAAAAGCGAAAAAGCACTTACCAGACTGCATAGTAAATATGATAAAAGCACTGGTGAGAATCCATGTAGCATCGTCCCAAGGTGAATTGGACTGAGGTGGAGTCGATTCTGTCACATTTGAAATGAAACTGTCATTCCCATACACCTCTGTTACGTTCGCCATCTTGAAACGGAACTCCGCTCCACTGTCTGTGTTGTGAATATGTATGTATAGACATATGACATAGCACTGTAAATACGTATTTTCAGCACCGCATTAAAAATTTATTGACTTTATTGTTAAGAAACGAAGACTGGAAGACTCTATTGTTGCTTGTAAGAACATCCGCTGAAGCATATTTACTTGATGTACGGTAAACGAATTGGCTTTATTCTCTGAGGATAGGCGTTAAAACCACTTCAAAGTGCTGTTCAACTGCCGCTGAACTGTTCGATAACCATTGTCTCTCGGCTGTCATAGAAGCGGCATCAACACACAAGGTAGAAACAACTCAACGCGGTTTTGACGGTATATATAAAGCCCGTTGTGTGAAAATGACCTTCTGTTTCCTACGAGCATTGCCTTTTATGATAGCATTCGTTAATAATTAGAAGCACGGCCCTACCATCAAACAGGTCATTCTGTTTGATCAACAATGAAACCTAGCATTTACTAAACGTATCCATAGATACAAGTGATCAAAACATTAATATATTGATTAAAAAGTAACAAAACGTTGACAGCACCTCAAAATGACCCTTGTATATTACAGACATTGTCGGTTAGCAATGTTCCAGCTATATAAGGTATCTGTAAATAATCGTGTCTGGACCAGACAATCCAGTGATTGACATCATGAGCATCGACCCACGTAATTGGGATCGATGACATGCATCAACCAAGTCAGCGAGCCCGACCGCCCGATCCCGTTTGTCGCCTTTTACAACAAGGATAGTCGCCTTTCACTGCAAGCATGGGTTGCCGAAGACCTATTCTAATTAATTAAATCCAGGGCTACATCACTGAGCAATATGTAGCCCTGGATTTAAGAAACAAACGATTATCGTACAACAAAACACTGCAGGTAAAATAAACCACTCGGGACTGTGCCCCTAATGGTGTATTCTCCATGCAATATATTATTGTACCATATACAACGACCACGAGTCGTTTATTTCTTATATCAGAGGGGACACGGGTGGCCCAGTCGTCTAAAGGGCCGCGATTCGCCGTGCAGAGTTGCGTCCCTTGGACACGCCAGAAACCCCTAAATATTGGTTCGAATCCCGGTTCGCCCCAATAATGTTTCTAGGTTTGTCAGCACCATACCCGTGCGCTTGACTTTCACCAAAGTGATAAACGTCTGAGACCTGCCTCACTTCGGGCTTTCCTCCAAAATTAAGCTGACAAGCCGTGATATAACTGGAATACTGTTAAAAGCGGCGTTAAACCCAACTCACTCACTCACTCTTATATGAGATATAAACATGATGAAATAAACGAAGAATGGCAGTCGTTTGGTTTAATAATACTCCCTGCAGTGTTTCTTTGGTACGAAACAGGTACCCCTCGTCGTTTATTTTTTATATCAAGTGCTTTATACAATAGCTATAATGATGAGCCCCTGAATGGAATCCGACCTCGGCAATGTCGAACAAGTCCATTTGATACTCAATGGGTATTTCCTGCATGTTCTCACAATCCTCGTGTCGATTATCTGTACCGTTTCTCCCAATACCGATTTTGATATCGCCACCACTTTCGGATGCGATCATGCGACCATCGCGTTTATCTGCGGTACCCAGCTACATCTATGAGGAACTCACTAGACACACCCCTCTCAAAAATATAACGCCGTCTAATATACAACGTCTTCAAGGTGCGAGCGCATGTTCGAATCTCCAGAAATGACGACATGATAGAACAATGTTTTATCGTGAAATAAACCACACTTCGTTCTTCATCGTTCTTTGCGATTTATCGCGTATCTATCTTACACATACACATATAGGAATATACGTTTGCGCTACACACAAAAGGTTATAAATAAACGGACATTAATAGGCATCGAGAAGTGAGGAATGGCTGGGGCTATGGATTTATACACTAAAGATAATAGTCAGAACTCCATTGCAACAAAGTCTACCAACTGTTGGAGCAGTTGGACTACATTACTTCCTACATGCAATCCACTTCCCCCTGGACAATGTTATGTGTTTAAGAAGATCAAACAAATCAGTTCGGTGGTGGCGCCCATTCATGCCATGTTTCAGGTGTGCCATTTTCTTTGACGCGCATTGTCCAAACTAATTTGTTACCAATGTGTTCAGCCGGTATATTATGTTAAACATTGCACACTAATCACGGTATCAGCCTCTGTCTACTTCTGCTATGTCTGACCGTGCCTTCTCCTTTTGCAGTCCACAGTTATGGACTTCTTTGCCTTTGAATCTGAGAAACTCTGCTTCTAAGGAAACGTTTAAGTCTCTCCTCAAAACCAACTTCTTCACCTCAGCTTTTCAATAGATCTCCTGATTGTTGGCATATGTACATAGACATTACTTTTTAGCCTTGTCACAGCGCCAGTGAGCAACTGTCGATGGATATTAGGCGCTTTACAAATCAATTATTATTATTATTATTATTATTATTATTATTATTATTATTATTATTATTATTATCATTATTTGTGCTCTGTCTAAAAAAACTACAACGAAAGACTGGAGTCTCCATTTCCGAATGCTAATGCATGTACTGTCTTAAGGAAGAGACTGTGTCAATCAACTATTAGGATAATAACAGTAAAGATATCACAAGGACACCCTGATGCACTCCGAATTCAAATATCAATAGTAATGTATCTATGTGACATGTTTGATCAACAAAGTACTCGGAACATATTGAAAAATCGATATTCATGTCTCATTTCAATTCATAGCATAGATGCAATGATACTAGACTTCCATTTACCGTTGTGTTTAAACTAACAATGGTCTGTGATTGAATGCAAAGCTTTTAATGGGTTTTCAAAAGGAACAGACGATATGTTTCTGAAGCTGTTTATCTTTGTAACATTTAAAAAAATACCAAGGAACACAGCAAATTTTGAAATCTAGTCAATCTATATAATCCATTCAGCTGTTTGTTTGCAATTTTGTACCAAGATTTGTCAAATCAAAGCAAACCACTTTGTATGGTCATGAGTGTACTTTACAAAATGTTAATATCGTACAAAGAGACCGTTGAGCTATGGTTGCCCTTTGTCTATTTAACATAAAGTGTAAGTGTTACGTTAGCCGTAGGGCTGAGATCACTTTGGCGGCTGATTTCATCGCAACATTGGAATCATCACAAACGTCGTCTGTGTTTCTGTTGTATATCTCACTGTCCTTGATGCTTGATGCTGTCATTTATCATAAGGAGGCGGTGGAGTATGATCGTGGTTTGTCACTACGAAGGTCCGGATGCGAATCCACCATGTGTGAACTCCATTCCGGTATCTACAGCCATGTTACTGGTCGGATAGAGGTAAACATGTACTCAATCACTCAGCTGACTTTTGTAAAGTTGAAGTCATCCCATTTGTATACAATATTATGGAGACTTTCTTGTCACTTGACATTTCCATACATAGATTAAATGTGAAACAGACGAGGCGTTGTCATTGGTCTTTTTTTAGTTTGGGTGGGAAAATCAGTGGCGTGGATATGGCTTTTTGACCATTATTGAAAGATACCAGATCATCGATATACCTGAAGTATAAGTTAAATTTCTTGTCAAAATGTCCTTGTTTTGATTTTCCCAATTCGCGATTAAATCTCCGATTCACGTGCATAAAGAATTGAGGACAACACAGTTGGTGCCCAGATTTCACATATATGTTATTAATGAGGAAGTGCAGCATTTTACATATCAGAAACAAAACTAACTTTACTTGAATGTCCTTTGCATTAACAGTATTAGTTATTCTCTTCCTGCTATGTTGGGAACAGCTTCCCCAAATGATGAATCAAATGACGACCAATAAACTGAAGTCATACACTTACACTGTCATTTACGATCGATAGGTTTGTACATTGTTTCTATGCAGTTGACTAAGCAGTTGAAATTATGTCCTATACTTGTATGGATAATATTCTCATCCCTATTACCATGACATCCAGGAACAACTTGAGTTATTTTTCTATGGATGATCTTGCTGACCCTGGAGTGAATGAGTATGGTTTAAAAGCGCTAATATTACGGCGGGGGGACACCAGAAATGGGCTTCATACATTGTATCCCTGTGGGGAATCGAACAGGCCACCCCATCGCCCAACTGACCCTGGAAGACGATGCAACTAACGAGTACGCGAATCATGAGAGTGTATCACACGTGACAATAGAACTTTATATATAACACTTGATTACGTGGTGGATTTTTGTGACTGAAATAGGCTTAAAACAGAGAATTGCATCGGAAAAGCCTTTAATATCATAATTTGTTTCTTTCCTCTAGTGGTAAGCATCTACGATCTCTCCCGCCTCCTCACACTTAAATCTAAAACGCTGTAGTTAGCATGAATACTATTTCTGGTTTTGCCAGTCAACAACGTCGAGCTGTCACATGATAATAACAATTAATACATACCTTAGTTTCCGGACTTCACATGAAAGTGCAACGCATCTGGTAAACAACCTATACGTGCCTACGCATCTAACAGCATGCACATAGTCATTTTGATAGCGACAATCCGGTTATTTATCATAAATGTTGATTTGTGATTTTCAGACATTCATGTTAAAGATTATACAGTTGGAACAATTTCTTCTGCATGGTTTCATTATATCTTCAGTTTCATGAATCGGTTCTAATTATAGCAATTGAAACATCTCCTATCAAATAAAAAATCGTCAACGCGTCGGGCTTTAAAGACAAAATAGTGATGAACTACATATGAATGGATGGATAACAGTTTTGACACCGGGTGTTTGCAAAAAGGGTAAGCGTGTCCTTCTCTACCTGTCAGTCACACTAATTCCATAAGAATATAATCGAAACCAGCAATACTCCTGTCATACCAATGCGGGCTGTAAAACAATTGAGTCTGTATCAGTGAGTTGGTCGGGTTTAACGCCGCTTTTAACAATATTCCAGTTATATCACGGCGTGTCAGCTTAATTTTTGAGGAAAGCCCGAAGTGAGGCAGGTCTCAGACGTTTATCACTTTGGTGAAAGT